GCAAAGTTAGCGCCCCAGCTAATCTTTGCTGTCCACGGTGGAAAACATTTAACACTGTTTGCCGATAAGAGACACCTAACAAAAGCCAGAGACTGTATCATAGTTAGTTGCTGTGAGCTTTCAATTCACCACTTCTAAGCAGAGGGCAGAAATTACATTTTCTTGGAGCCAGACTGGGCAAAGCCTCTCTCTCTGTTTCACTCAGACTCACCCTGGGTCTGAGTCTGCAGCTGTCTGCATTTAAGCAAGCATTTCATTTTGCGGCTACATCTGGGGATGTAGATGCAAACTGACTACTCGACTTAAAATGACTGAGGGAACGCCGACTGATGATTTGATTCTTCACCCTTAAGGGTGCAGCCCTACTTTAAAAGCTTGTAATAGTTATTTTTCACAGTAGAAAATGCTGCTATTCTCCGTTGCAGTCATTCCCTAGCTGCAATGACGATGCAGGTAAACAAAGACATGGACCCGGAAACTGATCAGTCAGAGCAGACTGAGCTTCTTCTGGAGAAGGGCTTAAAGTGACAGGCGCTAAAACAGAGTGTCTCAGACAGGTATTCCAGCACTGACAGTATGACGGAAAATTAGGTTGTTTTTTTTTTTTAACATTAAAGCATTTAAACATGTAGTAGTAACCCAAAATACATGTGTGAACCTGAATATTAGAATAATATCTCCCCTTAAGACACAAATGATGGTGTGGGGGAAAATTCTGTGTTAGAAACGATGACAACCAAGGGGTCAGTCAGGTCCAACGTTGCTCAGCTTTAGTGAGCAAGCTTAAACACATGTTACTATCATAACTACCCTCTGAGATGACAGGGCTGGAGTACTCCTGACCTCTTCTGGGCAATTTCAAACATTTTTATTTACTTAATTTGACTGTCACTTTGCCTTCAAACAAGCGAACTGTCACTCCTGCCTTTGTCAGTATAGAAACGATGCCTGGCAATACCTTTAAAGACAGACATACTGTGGTGTGCGCCTGGCTCTACATTCTAGATGAGGCGTTTTCTGTGCAGTGTTTGCCAATGAGTCCATCTACTGACTGCATAATTCATATATATTTCTACAAGCACCTGCTACAGCATAATAACAGAGTGTGTGGTAATGACATAACAGTTGTGTTTAAACTGAATACAGGTCATACACAGGAACTCACATTTTGGTGGTGAAGAAGGATAGTCATCCTTGAACAACATGCGCAGTTTGAACAGGCCTCCTTCCCACGGAGTCTGAGGAGTAACACGACCATTAGATTCAGATTCAAACAAGTTTCACACACGTTTTAATCCACAAATCTTTTTGGCTAAACACTTGGAATTCACTACCTATGCTGAAACAATATCAAATGTAAAACTCTAATAATACATTTTATTTATAAGCGCCTTTCAAGACACCCAAGGACACTTTACAAAACCAGTCAGTACATAATAAAAGTCAACAATAAGCAATAACAAAGAGCAGCAACAACCATTATGAAATGCATATACAGATAAAAGAACATATTCATAAAACGTATTATAAAACACCAGTAAAGGCATTGCTAAAGAGATGAATTTTCAGTTGTGCTTAAAAGAAACCAACATGCACTGACGCAGACCCTGTATTATGTAGGACAATTTGTTTAAAACCATACACCTGCTACAGAAAGCCATTGTCATACAAAGCTTGCTGTGTTTCATTTAACAGTGGTGGCTATGTAAAGTAAATGTGTTCTTTATGCAAACAGACAATGCATCACGTTACCCCTTTCTTGCCAGGAATAGCACATTCCCAATTCATGAGATTCATGGTTCCATCTGGATTTTTTGTTGGTACAGCGACAAATCCCTAAAAAATTAAACAGGACAGTGCAAACAGTTAAGACATCAGTGTTAACCAGAGGACTCGATGCTATCTCATAAAAGCTCTACACCTTCACAGTGACGCCAGAAGCTCTCATAAGACAGTACTTACAAAAGGATGGTCCTTCCGCCATGCCTTGCGCTCCTGGGCAAGCCGGCTCAATGCAATGCCTGACATGATTCGTGGACTCCTGCAATGAAACAGAATTTAAATCAATTATATGAAACTATTCCAAGTAGGGATGCATGATATTGGATTTTTGGCTGATATGCCGATATATAACAACACATTTGGCCGATAACTGATAGATATATCAACTTTTCCTCACCTAATCAGCGATCATCAACTCTCTTCTGTGGTGGAATTATCATATTATGCATGCATACTCTTATTGTGATGGCCCACCAGCAGATGGAGACATCAAATAAAATGCTTTTCAAAGTATTTGATTTTCATTCATTGGGCAAAATAAGAAAAAGCATGCTTGCTGTTTCTGACACTTAATTTTGAAGCTGATACTGGCCAATATGGACAATGTGCTGATATCATCAGCATGTTGACTGATTCTGATATCAGGCGATACCGATGACATGCCGATATTATCGTGCATCCCTAATCCTAACCTGGTTTGACATGGCAGCAGGAATTCACAAGAACAAGACTTTGTGGAGGTCACTGCCTTAAAAACATGAACTGCTCCTGTCATCATCATATGTTATTTTTTATACAGCATAAAAGCCAAGGAGGGCATATAGATTTGGTGCTTTTCTCTGCTTTATATCAGTGTAAATTAAAACATCTTGTGACCAACAACAAACCACTTAAAAAGCAAAAAAATTTGGGTTGTGATAAGCTTTTTCAGACATCAGGGTTTGGCCTTTTTCTACATGATTTGTGATTCCAGTAGTGTGAATGCAACTGTGAACATCACAGGTAAGCTCCTACGTTACCTTCTGTAAAGTGATCTAACATTACAGTAGTGGAAACTGAAATCCTGATGCTATGCATGTAGTGAGTTCCTGTGATCAGGTACATTTTTGCCTGGTAAACTGATTAGCCCTACTCTGTAAATGAAGGTGCTTTACTCAGGTAAAATCATCTGGACACATAAATTAATGATTACAAACTATATCTGTCTGTAGTGAAAGACTGACTGATTGTCCACACTTTTATTTACTTATTTTCGCAGAGAAAACTATACATCACGGTGTTGCCTGTCAGCATCGTAGCTAATTAGGAGCTCTAATTAAGGCCCTCCGCTGGAATGTCTAATTATCTCTATAGCAACGATGCTTAGGAGGAAACGTTAATTAAAACAAGAGGCAAAGCAACAAAAATGGCACAGGCAATAAGTACAAACTGCCCACGCAGCATTTACTAACTTTATAACAGTGGAGTTGTACTCTGTTTAATGGGACGTAATGTTAACTAGTGTTCAGTATTATAGTAATGTGCTTTAAAGTAACGTTTAAACCGTGTGCTTAGCACGCTAAGGAGGCTAGCCAAGTTAGCCGGTGGTAATAACGTTACATGTCTACAAAACCCGATTCTCTTAATCTCTTTCGGTTGCGCCTGGTGTTAAACTTAGGAAAATAAAACTATCGTCGTTTAATTTCTTCCATGTTCGTTGAGTTTTGCTGTAAACTTGTTGTCAACGCAAACGTCAACAAACAGACCATAAAAGCTATTTGCTTAGCACGCTAGCCGGTTAGCTTGGTGAGCTAACTCATGTGCGCCAGAATGATGCTATGTCCTAACAGGCGCTGGCGCTGTTAGCGTCTGACACGGCCTGATGCAGCACAAAAATGCGCAATTGCACTTGATTTGAACACAATTTTGGATGACAGAAAAGTGACAAATGCCTTTCTTCTGACGCTTAATAGTATGTACCCTTGAATAGCAAACGCGGATGTGTGATATTCTACAAGAATAAACCATATCAGAGCCCATTAAAGAATAGGGACAAAGAACGCCAGAGCTAAAAGGCGCACATTTGTGCATTACCAAACTAGCGAAAATGGCGCAAACTGAAGCGGGTAAAATATCATAATACACGACAAAATTAACATGTTCTTTAATGAATGTGTGCTCCTACCTTTCAGTATGGCTGCACTGGCTCTGGTAATTAGGCGAAATGAATTAATCGTGCTCAAATCCCGTTAAACCCTGTAAAGTTTCCCTCCTGAAAAACCACCCGCTCCGACTCAAGACAGACAGCGAAGCGAAACAGTCATCCGCTGTTTACTTCCGTCTTCGCTTAAATACCCCCATAGGAAGAGCAGACTGCGCGTTTCTTGCGCCTTATTTTTTAACGTGTCTTTTGACTGCCGCTAATTTAGCCGTAAGGTTTTATCCTGTTATTTCTTCATACGTTTCCATTTTCATTTGAGCAGCATAGCTTCTGCTTATAACACACAGCGGTGAAAATTATCTTTGCTTTGCGGCTGGTGCGCCGTGCCAATGCCTGTTACCTACTCTGAAAATAAAACAAGCAAAGGTTTTATATATATGCGAAACACGCGTATGTTTATTATCGGGAATATCTTTTATATGCCATTTGTTCATTTAGATCGTTAAACATATATGAAATAAAACATATTTTCTTATTTTAGATATTATACATTCCCAGGAACGATGAGACAATCTAGCAATCACACGCGGATTTCCATCTTCTCCTATAAAACATCTTTGCCCAGACTAAGGACCGTTAACCCAAACGACTGGCGTTTGACAAATCATATCGCATAATTTGTACACTTATATAAAGAGCTGGGATCAAATATACACAGATTTTTGGCCTTCAGACACACATTTTCGAAAACAGTTTTATATACCTGTGTAAAAACAACAAAAAAGAGAAACAACCGTCGACATTTAGACAGGCATATTTCCAGGCAACTAAGCTATAAAGCAACGTGTTCTGAGGACAGACACTAGAGGTCGCTGTTTATCAAACATTAGGATAATGCTGTCAACACGTATCCATTTACTGCTGTATCTACAGGTGTAAAGAGACTTAACGTGATGATGCACACGTCTGATATTATAACCAAATTGTGTATAAAAACTTCTAAATCAAAATAAACCATTCACACCGTCAGAACCAAACTGTAAAGACACTGGAAAAAACACACACAAACACACACATAATCAATGACAACATTTTTATTGGGTTTACCTTATGCAAGACCATATAGATCTATCCCCTTAACCTCATACTTAATTTGTACATTTTAAACATTGCATAAGATCATATAGAATAGTGATCTATGTAGTGATATGAGAACCTTATTCACTGATGTAATTGCTAGATTGAGGAAAAATGACACATTCATTCCCTCTGATTACAAGTGTGATCATCTTCAACCATGCATTACAGTGATCTGTGGCTTGAATGCAAAACAAACTGGGCACTTATAAGTATTAGGCTACAGATTTGATAAGTTTGTCCATCACATGAAATGATTATCAATGCCAAATGCTCAACCAGATGACCTGTTTGTGAAGGGCATTAAAAGGTAATGTAGCTGCTAAACGTAGAGGGGTTAAACACCTCGGATCAGAGTATATCAAATGAAGTTACAAGCAAACCAAACACAAAAACACTTTAAATCTCATTGCAGAAAGAAGTCTCAAAAGAAGAAATAAACCTTTGCTCTGAGCCAATGCAGGTGAGTATCATCCTATTAAAAGTGAGTATCTCTGCCATCAGAGGGCGGAAAGCAAGATTGTCTGTAACGCTCAAGCACAGACTGCCAGGAGTGGATGGAGTATAATCAGTCAGCACATCTGTGTGAATATCAGTCCATGTGGAATGGGGAGTGCTAGTTGCCATTGGTGCAGTCACACAAGTCAGACTCGTGTTAACGTGTGTGAGGGAGTGCAAGACAGTACATAATTGGAAGGCTTCAGAATACTATAGCAAATGTAAACATAGCCCAGCTCTGGCAGGAAATCCAGTCTACTTTGATTGAACCTCTTTGTCAAATTTTGCACTTTAAAAGCCCTTGTGTGTGTCCGTGTGTACATGTGTGTATATCTATATCAAAAAACATGCATCCATACTTGTTTCCCCGACAATATAAAAATTGTTTTAGTCAAGTGTATACGTGTACATGTGAGTAAATGGAGGTTTGTGTGTCGTTAACAAGTCTATATGTACAAAGTGTGCCAGCATTAAGAAAAGTTTACTCATCCCTGACACTAAGATCAATGTGTACAATACACATAAGACATTGGATTTTGGTCATTGGGGAAAAAAAGGCAACACTAAATGATTATTTGTGAATGAAATATCTAACCTATCAAAACCACACATCAAACCTGAAAACAACTTTCTATAAAAAAAAGTGTTCTAAAATGCAGTATTTACATTAACAACATTACAGGCTTGTAAGCAATGTGCACAGTGTGTTTTTTCCACTGTAGTGCTTGTAATGCTGTGTACGAAATCTACACAATTCAAAATGCTTAGAAGAATCTATCACAATGCAGGAAAAATACATTTGTTTTGTTTTTTTTTAAATGTAACAGTCAACTTCATAGCCAGCCAAGTATAGCTTTGTTATTGGTTATCAAAACATGTTCCAGGCATGTTCTCAGTGAAAGACACCATGTTCAGCATCAGCTGTTTCAAACCTAATGCAGAAATCTCTGTACAAACAATGCAAAACAGAAGTTAACATTGTCAAGGTTTTCTCATTTTTAAAGATCCAGTATAAACAACTTCCGTTCCAAGTTGTGTTTTCTATACAGTGTACAAAACGTGCAGTTTCTTTTTTTCTTTAAAGAGTTAAATATTAATATTGAATTTGGATTATTTACATCAAAACAAAATCCTCTGGATATGATCAGAAAGTCCTTCACCACTGCCTTCAAACTGTTCCAGTCCATAAAACCTCCCACACCTCGAATACTTCTCAGGAAAAAAAAAGCTCGTAAACAAACAAGATCTTCCCTCAAACATAAACTAGTTACGTACAACTCAGAAGTAGGCTTGGGCGGTATCAAGGTATACCAGGATGTTTAGAAATCCTTACAGTGTGATTTCCAATACCGTCAAAAAATACAGACGCTCCTCTTTCTGTTTAGCTCATTTTATGTAGTGCACATCATTCGCCACCAGGGGTCAGTCTCTACTGGTGAAAGAGGCAGCTGAGCTGTGGTGGGGATATCGTTACAGGACTATAACAGCCGCGACAGTCGTGTAACTCTGTGAATTAGGGGTTCATTTTAACCAACTATAGCTGGTGTATGTTGGAAAAGTGGACTAACTGAATGACACGTTATATTGTTTCTGCCAAGTTTGAATGGAGTGTGTTTTACGACGAGTTAACGCAATTAAGCTAGACTTCGTTTGATAAAAGAGTAACTTGAATTCAGAAGGTGTGGTTGTATTTCTCTGTTTAATAAGGGAAACAGGTGTAAGACTATTACCCTTCTTGACATTTTGAGAGTTTATAATGATTATTTATTAAACTGAAAAAGCTGAGAGTGCTTGCAGAGTGTAGAAAACTCCCTAGTCAAGGGGGGACATTAGCTAGCGCAGCTCACTAACGCCGTCATATACACCACACACCCAAAAGTGGAATTTCAGGGTATAAAAAAAGATATCGCTCAAGCCTACTCAGAAGTCAGTGGGGAAAAAAACAAAACCCAAAAAAGACGCAATTGTCTTGAGGACCTTTTTCCCGACAGGAAACGGGACACTGATGTTTAAAAAATAAATCACTGTAAAACAGAACTCGCATTTTAAAACACCATTGACTGTTTTGGCCAGTTAACTTTAGACTTATGAACATGAGGAGTTAAGATCAATGTCCAGCAAATTAAACTTGATATAAATTTCCTTTACAACATTTAAAAGAGCAATTTGACGTGTCTACACGACCAAAAGACCACATCTGCAGAAGCAGCAAAATCTTACTTTGAAGCACGTTCTGAGTGAACATGGGTGGCTTAGCATGTATCCAATGCTTATGATTTAAGTAATCAGACTTCATGAAAATTATTTAATCCCACAGCGTAAACTGGCCATATCTGTGGGTACGTTTTACCATGGACGCAAGATGAGTGCATGACTCCACAAGCGGCTACACAAGCAATACATTTACTTCTCAAGCAGTATAAAACAATTAAGAAGCATCTGTCGTCGCCATATTAGCCATCGCCATATATAACTTACAGTCTATGTGAAAATGTGACTTTTATATTTCTGTTCATTACAGGTCACTTCCTCATTACCGTAAAAAACTCTGCTAGTGATAAATAACCCAACGCCCCTTTACCTGTATTACCAAACGTTTCTGTTGATACAGTTTTCATGCTGCTCTGAGAATATGATCATTCCTTTTCTGACAGTAAACACATACAGAAAAATATTTTTGAACCAAACTAATGTTTCGAATGCCTCAGTGTGTCATATCGCTGGGATCCTCATGATCACAAATCTCAGTGTAACTGTAGGAAATCTTTGGAAAACTAATTTATCATTTCCGTTTCTGGGGTGTAATTTCACATTTAATAACCTAACTCTTTAAAATGCACTGAATAAATGCACAATTCCCTTCTTAACATCACTAAACAATGATTTTGAGATTGATACTTTGTAGTTATAAAGACCATACTGATTGATCCCTTACCAGACCCTTGAGTTGGAGGATATAAGAATTAACTCAATAGATGACCCTGAGTGAATCATTGGCCTTATATGATGATGGCCATATTTTATAGCATAAAACATTTGTAGATTGCAATTCCTTAGTCTCAATTAGAAAAAAAAAAAACTTGCCGCTAATTCATAATAAAAAAAAAGGTCCAGTTTAAACGTACAGGCACAAATTGTCAGTAAACAGACTTATTTACATCAAGAAATAAAAACGAAAATGGAGGGAAAACACAAAATAAATGCACACCCCCCAACTTTAAATCTCCATTGTGCCAAACGTTCTTCCACAAAAGATGATATGTTAGCATCATAACACCTGGATCTCATAATACTGAGTCCTCTTCACATCCGGGAACCCCTTTCCTGAAGGATCTGCAGAGACCAACAAAAAAACTAAAAAGACAGAGTTAACAGAAACACACAGTGCCACATGCTCTAAAAGTGATTACATTTACATGCACAAAATATTCTGGTTTTTGCCCTTATTCAAAAAGACAACATTCTTACTGAGCTGTTTACATTTCTACAGAAAACTAGTACTCCAGTAATACTAGTGTTTACATGCAGCTGTGCATATTCTGTTTCACGTACCCTAACACGTTGTTTATCGTGTCAAAACATGGACAAGTGGAACAGCTGGAGCTGCTTGAGTAGTTGTGTCAGAGAAGGATTTTTCACAGGTTTCGGGGGGCAGACTCAACCGTGCGAACGCAGCCTCCCTCTTTCATTCCTTAGGTCACGATCACACAAAAAGTGTTTTAGCAGCTTTAGGCGCCTTTTTTTTTTTTTTTTTTTTTTTTTTAAATGGGAATTAAGCTTTTTGCTTGTGGTTTTTGCATTGCGATGCACCTAATGTTTGTGCGCTCTAGGTGCCTGGCGTTTTTGCTGGAGCGCTCTGAACTCCTCAAGTTGAAAAAACTGCAACTCAAAGCAGAAAAACACCCCAAATGATCTTGTTTTTCAGCACTTCTTTCTCATGTCCAACCGGATGATTTGAGAGGCAGGTCTTCTGTGGTAGTCACGACAACAAGTTTACAGTTGGTAAACAATGGAGGAGAGACCGGTGGTAGCTAGTGGATACCCAGAGCTATAAGGCCGGATGATAGACAGCTGGTTGTCAAACTGCCATGGCCATCATGGAGGCAAAGCTCCTGGACCAACTGGTGGTACTCTCCATTATCCACCCTCTTTTCTAGGGTCTCGTGCCCACACAGATCTCCGTTTCCTTGTGCCCAAAAAACTATTTGAGTTGAGCCCATAGTTGCTGGGCAACAATAAAAAGGCACAGCAAGCGTTTTTTTCCCACTAGTGGCATTTTTTTAAAAAGTTGAATGCCACTAGTGAAAAAAACTCTTGTTGCATCTTTTTATTTTAGCTTAATTCTCATTAAAAACAATTACAAAAAGGCGCCTCCAGCTGCTAAAACACTTTCTGCATAAACAATCTTTCTAAAAAAAAAAAAGTTGGTGTTGACATATTCGCTCATATCAAAAGCCTGTTGAGATCCAACTTTTTCATATTTTCTAAGGTAGGTGTGTTTCTCCTTCCAACCAGAAATGTGGCTTCTCTTTTGGGCATGGATCTCTACCCTACAGCCCTGCAAACTGTTGGCGAGCTGGTTTGTGGACAAAAGATCCATGACAATGCACAGAGTTGGCTATAAACAGGCAAGATGCCGTGTGTTGCAAACTGCAAGCATATTCCGAATGTGCTGTACACATGCCCAAAGAATGCTCCTAAAACCAGATTAATACCGGCATATCCCACATCTTAATCGGAACAAGCTACATTCAGAATAAGATCTAATTGTTTACACGAACACTATCACTTTCAGAGTCACAGTGAAATATTAATGTGCATGTAAATGTACCCATTTAGTATCAGTAGATTCCCCTGTATTTCCATGCTTAAATTCACTTCATCAGGTATTTTTTATTCTTTATTCCTGTGACAGTGCATACTTTCCCAGCCAGGAGCACTCATACATTTACTGTACGTGCTGGCTCAATCAAACACACTGAAAGGAGGCAGAGAAAAGGGAAATGCTTGAACAAGTGAGGAAAATGAAGCGTTGTGCTAAAGACTATGCAGTGCTGGGTTGTGAAGCCAATTATGGGTGAGCTCAAAGCAGAGAAGCTTGTCAGCTGGGATCAACCTTGGTATTGGAAAGACATGCTGCTGAAGCTAACCTCAGCACCCTGAATGATTCTGAACGGCAGAAGAGATGAAGGCTCAGGGTCTAAGGGATCATTTATGCTCAATGTTAGCTACAGAAAAAGACACAGATGGAGCCTTCTCTCAGTACAATGGGTTTTTTGTCTGTATTTGTGCATGTTTTCTAAAAGCTTACGAAGAAATTTAAATAATGGCTGAACAGAATAAAGTGGTAATATAGGGAAAAGAAATCTTCATCCACATGTTGGGATGTATGTAATAGCCTTACAGACCAACATGGTCTAAAACTCTGCCTGCATTTAAAGGTAATATAGTACGACCTCCTCCACGTCACCTCGTTTGTTGTTGTGTGAAATGTTTGACTCTGCCTTCTAGTGCCATCTATAGGTTGTATCTATGCCATCATAAAAGACGCACGGATGTAGGGGAGGGCAGTGCTGTTTACAATGTTTGAAACAAATTTATTTTCACACATAAAGGGAGTATAAATGAGCCTTAACAGCGTCCCGTCTTCCCCGGGACATTAGCAAACGTGTAGGATGAACGGAGATCTAACCCAGGATGCCTTCTAGATGAAAGAAAGAAGTAAACTCGTGATGCTACACTGTAAACAACAAATCGGTGTTGAAAACAGCAAGTGGAGCGTTAGCTAATGTTAGCTGTTAGGGACTAACAGCTCACAGAGGTTGTATTATGTTACATTATGATGCATTCAAGCTCTATTTAGTAAAACGCAGTATTAGTAAATTATGTCAACGTCATGATGCGTTCAAATGTAATCTTGTAAAATTTAGTTTAGTTTCTCTTAGTTCTTTTTTTTAATATTCACAATTCTGTTATTTGTTTAAATTGCAGATTTTCCTGTTTCCCTGGCACAAAGGAGGGAATAAACAACAACAAAAACAAAATAAACGACAGCCAAATTGTCATTTTAAACATCGGTAGTGGCCCAGAATTTCACAGTCGGTAAATCCCTCACATTAACTGCAGTAGCAATAAATTTAATTGACCTTTTAATGATTCTTTGTACTGAAAAACCTGGACTAAAATCTAATTCATGATGATAAATTAATCATTTCAGACAATTTTGATTAAGCATGTGATTATGTGTTTGAAGGCCCTACCTTTAACTGGAACAATCCAATCAGTATAAAAATGCATCACAATATACTAATTAAAGATTAAACTCAGTTCCTCATTAGGCCACTTTGTAGTAATAACAACTGCAGTAAGACAGACAGATGTATCAATAATTTGACTATGAAAACACACCAGTGCTGCTGTCCAAGCATCACTACAACCACTACTCCCTTTGACAATGAAATGGGACAATGGGAGCGTAGTAACCCTCCCCTCACTTTAAATGTCATTGAATTAGGGACAATGAGTCAAACTGCAGCAGCTGATGATTCAGCATGCCCTCCATTAACCAAGGCTGTGAGCATGATAATAATTACAAGGGTCTGGTTTACACTACAGAAACAAATGGAGCTCTTCCCATCTGGTTCCAAATAGAGTTTCACCTGCAAAGTCTTATTCTACCAGTCCCAGCAGGCACCATCTGGCTTTTGATCAAGCTTTGGCTTGTCGACTCTGAAGGCCAAAGCTGATGTTCAACCTGGGTTCAGTCACTTTGCTCCAGTTTAAGTAAATAATCAGATCAAGATGTCTTGACAGGTGTTTTCAGTAGTGTAAACTGCATCAAAGTGGCATGGGGAAAGAAGTGAGGGACAAACCAGGGAGGTGCGGTGGTGGGACTACGAGCAGTTGAGCGCTCACCAGTGAGTCATAAGTGCTCAACCCTAATCAGAGTCATTCATTTCATAATCCGTCTCTTCGTCCTCGCTCTGAGCATCATGCAGCATGCAGACAGCACAGAAGAAGACAAGAAAGGCATGTCGTAAAATAAAGGAAATGAATGGAGGTGTGAAATGTTGGAAAGGAGAACAAGAATGTGAACGCTGTGTCAGCTTTCACATTAAAAATAAAGCGGGTTAATGTTCAGAGGGGATTAACATTAACAGCTACATTTAAGCAAAACTCAAAAGAGCTGCAAAACACAAGAAAACAAGAACAGATGTTTTCCAAGGGCACCTTTAAAACCCAACGGTCTGACTCCCAACTCCTCAAATACCAACTCTTGGTCAGTGGCATTCAACGTCAGATACCAACACACCGAGGCACCCTTTAGCGGCGGTATGAGATGCACTGGGTGGAAGCATTTTTTGACACTCTGAACAACTGCTGTAGTATAAAGAAGGGTGGGTGGGAGTCAAAGTGGATGGGTCAAACAAACCCCTGACTTTTACCCAGGAGCCCACTGTTTGTGTCACGTGTGAGACCAGAAGTTGATAGAGTTATTTAAACCTGAGGCAGTAAACCTAAACTGTTTTTAAAACCTAAGCTCTGAGCTTATTTTGAAGAGAGACTGCATGAACTTGAAAAGGGAAGTTAATGTTAATCAGTACATGTTCTAAGCGTAAATTGGCACGCCATCCCTGAGCATCCAAAACTGACACTGGAGGGGGACCTAGAGCATCATAGTTTGACCAAGTGTCGGTATTTGACAAGTTGGAAGTGAATACATTTGCCGGAACTGATTCCAAATAAATAAAATATGCTTACTACAAAATGAAAATATAATTTTAAACTCAATTCCTTGCATAGCACATCCTGAAATGTATTACACTCAAGGACCCAGATTGGATATAGTGCCCCTGGAAACAATCACAACAAAGTCTCTACTCTCTCTCTACATTCACTTGAAAGATGCACTGGTGGTGTCTAGTCTTCCTATCTGAATAAACAGCAGCATGAATACAAATTTAACGGTGTGCTGCTTCATGTGTAGTTGCCGTTAAGGAGCGGGGGCCCCGCGGGGACACGCTGATGGAGTTTGAATTCCTCAGGGCGTGCCTCCTACTTTGCTCCCGAAGAGAAAATGACAGACCTTGCCAATAGCACCACTAATCTGCAAACCTGCGCTCCCTTAATGCCCCGAGCACAGATGATACTTTTTAGAGTTTTTAATTTCAGGTCAAATCTAAATCTACACAAATCTGTGTGGTCTTGTAGCAACATGAAAGTTCATGCTTAAATCTAAAAAGGAGAGCAGTGTTCAGTTATTAAAACGTCCAAATTAATGTCTGCTTTGCTTTAGTTTATACTTTTTTATCTTCTTCTTTTTCTCTGCTCACGTGGTTATAGAGGCAGGCTGTTTTTACAACTGAGGGACTGAACATTCACAACGTTCTCCTTCACAGAGCTTTCTCATCAATAAACTAGGGGTGCTCTCAGTCCCCTGGTGGCATGTTCATAAATGCGATGCATTTAAAACATCCAGCACAAGCCATCATTCACAGACGTTTGCTGCGGATGGATTTTCAACCGGCCTCTCCGCACACACACGCACTCACACACTTACCTTGGCCTTCTCACTGGGCTCACTGTTTGTCCCGTATGATTGATTGTGCAGCTCCTTGGAGACTACACACAGGAACTCGGCTTGGTCTTCGTTTCCGTAGTTGTAAGAGGAGCCTATGCTGACCAGCTAGAGACACGAGAGCAGAGCACAGAGGGAGAATTAGTGTTAGACTGCTGAAGTACAGGCAAAAACTGGGCTACTAATGGTGGGAAAACAGTGGTAGGGAGACGTTAAAGTAACGAAAAAGAGGTTGACAACCATTCACGGAGCACACGGAGGGTCTACAGGGTTCATGCAACTCAAATTTAAGGCTCTATATATTATTTTGGACAAAACAGGACAAATGTCACTGATTAGACATAGCTCTAATCATACAGACTAAGTATGGTCTGTGTAACCATGACTTTCAGGTTTGTTTTCGAATTAATTATCTCCCATATTTGCCTATATTTAATAAAAAATATAATATGTGATACAGTGAGGACGACACATAAAGGTCCACACTGAGATTTAAAATCCAGAATGTCCTGTTAGCACTATTACATGGTACGCTGAGACCACGAGACCAACCCATTTCAAGAAGAGATAGAATTACAGACTTAAGGGTACATAGAAATGTCAGTTTTAATCCAATACATTTATAAAATGCAATGCAAACAGTGTTATCAGGACCTGCAATCCAAAATAAAACATTCATGAATATCACAAGGCAAACAGAAAACACCAAGTCACCAAGGTAATTACACAGAAATAAAATAATTGTTGGTCCACAAAAATAAGGCAATCATTAATAAAAGAAATTGCACAAAGACGCCAAAGACAGAAAAATACAACCAGCAGAGAGTTACTGAAAAGTGCAGGGGCTCGACCACAGGAAGCAAACATGCTGGTTGAAGAAAAATCAATGGGGAGCGGTGGATTTGACTTGATAGGACCAGGCTTGTTTCAAGTTAATATTTGGTAACAAATTAATGCCATCAAGTGTTTTAAACTACAGTATCTTCAACAAAGCAAATAAAGGAGAAAATGACAAAGTACCTGAAACACCAGGTCAGTGTTGTAAGTAAGATTTGAATGTTGGTAATATCTTGACAAAGACAACGTGTGCAGGATTTTCTCCAGTGCCTTAAAAGCAATGTATATTAAAAAGGTATACTATGCAGGATTTTCCTTTAAACAAATGTACAGACTCGTACAGAAGTTATTCCTCTGCTCTCTGCCTGGATTTTCCTATTTTCTTCTTATTTTCTGTATTCGGGACATTATTGGGCACGTACCTGCACAGTGCTCAGGTGAGGTAGGAGCTTCATACAAAGGTACCAACCAGGTGCCAGGCTGTGAGCAGCAGGCATTCAAGCAACAGAGCACAGAAAAAACGCAAATAAAGCGTGCCGAAACGCACATCAACAGTGAATCCAGGGTTGGCTATACTTTGACTTTTGCTGTTGAGTGCCTTTTCAACCATTATCCGACAATCCTGCATAGTATACTTTCAAGATCAATACTATCAGTACTAGATACTATGAGCTGCATTCTACAGTCTGCTTTCTATGATTTTCATTAAGTTTGTCAACTCCTATGGAATGCTATTATAAGTCATTATCAAATAAAAAAAATAAATCAATATGCCTCTTAAAAAAAGATTGCTATTAAATAAATAAATGAGGCATTAAATATATTTTTAAGAAAAGTTCTCTTTAATAAATAAATGTGGAATTATGAAATAAAAGTCCCCAGAAATAAATAAAAAATATTTATTTATCAAACTAAATGTATTAATTTATATATTAAAAGTTTTTTATATATTTAATGCCTCATTTATGCCTATGAAATAAATAAATATGGTTGTTAAATAAAGCCTGAAAATCCTGAAAAAAAGCACCCCTTTGGAAAATATAATTTACATAAAAAAAAAACTATTTATCTATTTAATTAAAATGATTATTTTTTATATGTGCATTTACATGTATTTATATATTTAGTAGCTTATTTATTTATTCATTCATTGGCATATTTTTTTAATTTAATACTGACTTAAATAGCATTCCTTACAACTCTTGCTTTAGGTGCATGTCTTACCAATCTACCACAAGCATTGACAGGGAACCGAGTGCATAACCCAAATTCAACCAAGTCAAAACATCAGTGAAGCTGCTGATTGTAACAGCAAGCAGCTTTTACCTTTGAGCACTGAATGTGTCAGTCAGTAAAAGAACTGGTATGAGAAAATCCCACACATAGTATCTTTAATACAATAAGCATGGCACTTTGTAATTTTCCTGTTCCAAGTCATGTCAGTTTGAATACAAGACATAAAACGACACAAGAGGATAAGTAAAGGGACAAGTCTGGTGAGATCTTTAGATAAACAAACCTCATGCACACCTTGAAAAACATGAGAGAAAACAGAGCAATCCCTGTTCCTGAATAACTGCTTTTACTGCTGAATGTTAAGTGTGTGTACACTGCAGGCTACATGTATGCCGTCTGTACCCAGGTGTGCATGTTCAGACACGCATCGCCTCATTAGCCACTGCTGCCGGAGACTTTTTGTTGTTGAGCAATCTCTCTCACATTAGGCATCAAAGCAGCAAAAAAGACCAAATTATCTCAGCTAACTACCATGGATTCCACTTGTCCTGCCGCTAAAGACTCAACACCCACCAAATCCTAACTTTCTGGGTGAAATACACTTCAACAAATTGTCTATATTATGGAGTCTTAAAGACAGCAGTAGGTCATTAAAGCTCATCTACCCAAAAGACTCTCCTGGGCTAACAACCGAGCTTTAGGCTTTACATACAGAGTGTTTCTAGGAGTTTCCCCATCTGACCTGTGTAAGGAGATTAGAGAGGTTTCAGCTCTAATGGGAGATCCAGTGACCCCTCGTCTCAGAGAGATTCATTCACACATAATACACACACCAACACCCAAACGTGTGGTTTCACATTAGAAATATTAGCTTTTTGGCAGCTCCAGCTGAACACAAACTCTCATGTAAACTTGGGACTGTTCATTCTTAAAGGGACAGTTCACCCCAAAATCAAAAATACATATTTTTCCCATAACTGTAGTGCCATCTATTAATCTAGATTATTTGATGCTGAGTGTTGGAAATATCAGCCATAGATGCGGCTGCCTTCTCGTGATGCGTGGGTCAGGGCTTTTCAAAACCTGCATCAACCCAACCTGTTAAGAGCAAATCTGTCGCACTCGACCCACAAACACAAGCATTTATCAATTACTTGAAGCCAATCCAAAAACCTTAGCTGAAAGTTTCTGGTAATGACCGTTGCTAGTAACAACTTACTTGCTGTTGTCTATATTGTATGTCATTTACTGTAAATATCACAATATAAAATGTGTTTCCTCTGTTCAAAAGTACAAACACAGGAAGACAGCAAGTACTCATCCATCTATTAAGTGGTTTCCTCTTCAGTATGATCTCGAGCGCACAGCTGAAATCTTGTGTGTTTTTATTACATGAGTGCACAGTTGATAGGTACAGCTGTTTGCTTACATGACATAAGAGAAGTGCATATTTAACGGATTCAGTGTTGATAGAGAGACGCTTACTTGCTTGCTGTCCAGGGACAGCGTAAGACCTACATATTCTCAGAGGGAAATATTTTTACCAAACATTATGACCAGAGAGATTTACTGATGTCGGACTTCAACAGATTTTTCTGGTCAAAACATGGATAATGGAAACCCTGAGGGCAGCTGCTTGCTGGGTGCGTTAGAGAGAGAGAGAGAGAGAGAGAGAGAGAGAGAGAGAGAGAGAAAGAGAGAGAGACAGTCAGAGGGGAAGAGAAGGTGGAAGGTGGACCATTGCAGTGTTTCTGTAAGTTGTTAATAACTTACTCAGAACACTGCTTTGTCATTTAATGACCCGTCCACCTGAAAAAAACGCAATATTTTCAAACAAGCCTACCCAAACTGTCCAACCCACTGTGGGTCCACAGGTTGTGGGTTGACATGCGCAGCACTGCCTTCTCTCATATACAGCGTAACTAGATGACTTATGGTGTTCAAAAAGCCAAAAAGTTGAGCCTTTCAAAAAATTTTTTAAGGTGCTTTGAGCACCACAAGCTGCCACCTAGTTCCGTTATTTTCAAGAGAAGGCAGACACCTCTACAGACGGTATCTCCAACACTCAGCAACTCACACCAAAACAATCTAGACTGATAAACAGCACCACAGGTGAAATGTGAGAGGTGAATCTATTTAACTTACAAGGTAGAGTACCTGCTGGGAACACAAAACAACATTTCACCTCTAAGCAACCAGCACTATGTTACAGCACAACCCCCAGAAACAGCCAAGTGGCTATATCAAAGCAGAACACAGAAAGCTGTTGACAGGCTTATAAACTGTGAATGCATTATGAATAAAAAAATAGCATAATAAAACAAAATCACAGACAAGAAAAAAAAGGTGTCATGTTCTCTTAGCCTCACTGGTGAGCAAGCAGTACAAATGAACACTGAAAAGAATCAACCAAAAAAAGACCAACAGCTATGTGTCTACTTGGGACAACAATGGCCAACGGGGTGTGTATGGACAACATGGGGACCATGCAGTGACCAGCCCGTGGACAGAAATTTGTTAGACACACCTCTCCGCTGTTGTTTGGCAAAGCAGACTCCTCTCCCTTCACCTCCCTTGACACAATCAGCAGAAACTCTGACTGGTGGGCCCGCCCGTAACCTATACTGACAAGCTGCAACAACCAATGAGAGCACAGAAGGGATGCCCGGATCATGTATGCGGACATTGAGAAAGATGTGATTTGCTGTTTGGCTTTGTAGCCATTTCTAATATTGAGGATTGGTCTTTCTGGGTCAATGTGAGCATAGCGAGGTGGGTGAAGCACATGAAAGGAGAATTGCTGCCGTGACCCTGCGGGAAGAGGTTTACCTGTTCAAACTTCCAGCCATCAGACATGGTAGACACCATCTGTGTCAGCTCCTCCTCCTGGCACTGCAGCACCCGGTACACATGCTTCACTGGAACCTGAGAGGAGGACGAGCACATGAGAGAAATGGGATAGAAAGGGAGAGATAACACAAAATGAATGCAACAGGAGTGTCACATTTATGGAGAAATCTATTTAAAGAGAACTTTGTGTACCTGTGATGTTTTACAGTCGCGTTCCCTGATCTTATCCTTGATGAGTTTTATTAATGATGTGATGTTGTAGAATTCGGCCTCTTCTAGCACACCTACAACGGTGAAAAAGAAAGTTTTAGACAGAGGGTGAATACACGTGATCCATCCACAACAAATATTCAACTTTGTTACCATTTTGTTTCTTGTGCTACAGACAACTGTATTTAGATTTGGAAAATGTTTCATTACATATTCCAGGGACTTACCTTCCTCTGCCAAGTCCCTGTTGAGCACCAGTTTGCCATGCCTCAAGTAGTTCAGCACTGGCCCAAAGTATGTGGGGTCTCTGTCTATGAGATAGGCACCAGTTTCATCCTGAAAAGCAGAAAAGGAGGAGGTTGAGATTAGTATACTGTTTTAATCTGACTGTATTCACAGAGTTCTCAATTTGAAGAATCAGTCCAACATTTAGGAACTGTGTTTGTTTCTGCTCAATCCTACACTTAGGCTACATTCAGACAGCAAAAGCGGCCCAAATCTGATATTTTGGCTGGATCCAAATGTCCACCCTGTGGACTTGCGGACTGAGCCCTGAATTCACCTGAGTTTTACATCAATCTAGAACAATATTCATCACAATTCTGAACTGAGTGTCTTGCTTTGAGAGTCTTGTGGAGAGGTGCGGACAGAGATGTCGTTAAAAACAGCCCTTGGCATCCTGATTTTTGATGAAATCTGTTTCAAAAAAGCCAAACATGTCACGATCCCACCACTCATGGCTCTGACTCTGCATCCACACACACCTCCGTACAGAAGTAGCAATCATTGCTCCACAATGATAAAAAAAAAAAAAAAAAATCACACATTTGATGGCTTCCACTGCACATCAGCTTATAAATGAAACCTGAACACTGACTTCAGCGGCCTCCGTGTTTATCTCTGTATGACAGCATGCTGTAGGTGATGTCTTTGTTATTGTTCTTTTGTGCATGCGGGTCAGTTGAAACTGGAATCTGATACTGACCACATTTGAAAAATAAAGTGAACAGACAAACAAAATAAATCATATCTGAGCTATCAATCCAAATTGAGCGTGAAGGCTTGCAGTGAGAACGTAGCCTTAAAGAACCACCGATAGCAATTTTAATCCTATGCATCCAGTACAGGGATTGCAGTGTACACACACAGATGAAAGTGATTACAACAATTACGTCTCAACTGAATCTTTTATTTTCCCAAATGCCAGTGTTCCTTTAAACAGAGACAATCAATGAGCGGGCGTGTATTGTAATCGAATCATAATCTGTGGGGGAAAAACCTACACTGTGCATCAGTGAGTAAAGCTCAAGGGATGAGAATTATGAGGTCAGCTCCTGTGCTGATAATCTCTTCTGGGGTTGAGAGAACATGCGCACACAGAGACACACACACGTATGACAGCTTTGGGATATCACTCCACTATTCCCACAGGCCTTGGGTTTGATCCCGATTCCTTCGCAACCACTGGGTATTCCCCTATTTCTGTAAGTACTGTGATTAGGCTTTGTCTCGTGGCAGAAGAGGAAGCTAAAACAATTAGAGCGGAACATAAAAAGATTTGGAACAGCAGGCTGAATCCACCAAGGGGACCAGGAGAAAGCACCTTGGCTTACAACCGACAATTAGCTCAGTCTGGTCTGTTACATAGTTGGCCTAACACATAATATGAGTGTGTTTGAACAGCTGTCTAACTACTGCAGCCAACGCTAGTTTAATACTAAAACTTGTCTAATACGATGTGACATTTACTGAGTCAAACGCACTTGACATTTGGTAAAACACTCAGCACGGAGGACAGGCCTTAAGCAAATAATGTGCTAATCCTCATATGCTACAGGATGTTTGACTTTGCATCAGTTGAGCAATATGGCTTTAGGAGCAATCTTGGCAAATTAGCAGCACTGCTGGTCAGAGCAGTATTGTCATACACAGCAGGCCAAGACCAAACTCAAACAGTCAAGTCCACAGTGAAGAACATGTGCACATTCATAGTTACCTCGTCTTCACGGGCCCAGAGATGGATTCAACTCAAAACCCATTAATCTTTCCAATAATGAGAAAAGGTCCCAGTGCACTTTCTTTTGTAATGAATCTGAACCCTCCTGGTTGGCTGACCTCTTTTCCAATGCAAAAATATCCCACTGGAGCCCAGCGGAGCTCTATTCTGGTCTTATTGCCCTGTGTCAGTTCCTTACATTTTCATAGTCACTAAAGTTTAAGCACAAGCACAGGTGGGCCCTGCGTGGAGGAAACAGACAGGGCTGCACAGCTCACCACATTCAAACCACACTGAACATAATAGCTTATTTTAACATAAAAAGGTTCAGCTCCTACTCTTGGCCTCTACTTCTTCTTCACTGCATAGCAAAAGCTGCCAAGCACGAAATGATTCTATTTCTACCACACGGCCATTGGTATCCACTGCATATCATTTTGCTTAAAATGAACCTGAGGGCAAACGAGGCTTGTTCATATTATGGATTTAACTGACATGTTTGTCTGATGAGCATCACCTGTACTTGGTCTTTTCACTTCTGATAAAAATGGTCAACTTTGCATAAGGGTAGGGTTTCCCCACACCTTCATTTAGCTGTGGTGGCCCGCCATGATTAAAACATCTGCCGCCACAAATAGCTTTCCTATTTTTGGACCATTCATTTGGAGCACCAATGGATATATATAGTACAATTCTTTATAGCACCACACTGTTGGAGAGGAGAGTGCACTGGGGGAAGAGACGAAGTAGCAAAACGTCAGGTGCATTCAAAGTAAAACTTTTCCATTCATTCTGCTGGGTCTAAAAGTTTGCTTTCACTTGCAGCAGCTGCTCCTCTCTGATCTGATCAGCTCTGAACAGCTCAACAGATCAATTATCCAACCCGCAAATGACAAACTGCTGCTGGGGAAAAAATAATTCATGGAGAGCTCCACCTGCACTGCATTGATGGACCCCCCAAAAAACCCAAATTTAGAAGGGGGACACAGAATGATACAAAGAGACATGCAGGTATTTGAAAGAAAACAAATGTTTGCTGTCAGAAACACTGAGTAGTCAAATGGTTATGGCTCCTTTAGTCTCAATCCCCTTCTGGCTCTACACTATCAGCTATCCAATAACATCCAGCAACACCAACAGCTTGTTTTTTTGAGCAAGTTTTACTTGTCTGGATCAATAAAACCTGAATCTATTAAGATGATTTCAGCCTGTATAACACTATGAAGACAATGTATAATGGTCCTTGTTAAAGACACTTTTACATGTCACAGTAGTTAAAATCAAAGTTGTAAACAAAATTAATTACAGCCGAAATCCATGTTGATGCTTCGGTGTCAGGGTTCCTGGCATTGCGCACACTGGCTCACTGTCACACTGGGACACCTGAATAACAGAGCTGTCATTAATGTTATTACAAACACCTGTGCTCATCCTGCTGTGACGAGTCAAAACGTCTGCTATGAAAAAGGCTGACCGCTCTGTACAAATAAACTATTGTATACTACCTCAAAGCACTCCCACTCATCACTCAAAGCCTTGTGTACTCTACTCTACTCTTCTGTAAACCTTCTGCTTCCTGGCGTAATGTGCTGACAAGCCTGTTGCCGGTCCTCTGGGTGCACATGCATCTGTGGGGGACTTGGGTGACAGTGACCCAGTTCAGAGAGATATGATTATGGGGGCTGTGATATGTGGGCTGGTGTACACAAAGGGGACAGTGTCTTTAATTAAAAACAAAAGGCCGTGTCTCTGGGGGCCCCGGCTAGGGAGCACTGGGCAACAAGCAGAGGGGTGGGAACACTGAGGGAACAGGAGGAGGGCTGTTGGGATGTACTGTAGACGGTATGGGTGGGAATCTCCGGGCACCTCACAATTCGATTACGATTCAGAGGGCTACTATGTGATGATCAAAAATAATTTTTGATTTCTAGATTTTTTTTTGTCACTGTGTGACTGCTTGCTACTTTAAAAACAAAGCATTCTGTATTTGCAGTGTGACCCATAATAAAATAACACCTGTAGGTGCTCATGGTAACCCAATGTGCTGGCATAGAGTCCAGTGTTTGCAAATTGTAATGTGTCACTGGAAATAGTCTGCAATTCACATACTGTTGAAAAATAAATGGTTTGCAGCCTTTTTTTCAAAGTTAACTACATTAATTAATGAATTAATTCATAACAAGGCATCTTACAGTTTCCTGCCTGTATCACAGTAACAAAATAAGGGGGGTTTGGCATGCAGTGTTGCTTTAGCATCTCCAGTAGCGTCTCTGTATTTGAGGTGAAACGGACTGAGCAGAGAGTCATTTTCTTCTTCACGGAAGTGTTTTAAATTAGTTAATATTGCAGCATGTTATGTATTGCATCAGCTGATCTGGGTAGTTTATGTTACTGCTGTTGCTGCTCCGCTCTGGTAACCTTAGGCTCTAAGTGGTGGCGTAAAAGTTTTCACAATTGTGAAAGTCTTTCATAATACACTTGATGTTCGTCCCGCAAATTCAATTATTTACATATTAAGTTAAAACAAGCTAGCAATCGCTGCCTTTTGTGACAAGAGATTACAAGTTAACTCTAGCGTGTGCAGAGATGAAGACTGTCCAAGTGCTGCACATCATGTTATTAATAAACATTCAAATCATCAATTATTGACATTTGTGAGCTGGTGCCAAATCACCCATGTCCACATCGCGATGAATCTAAGAATCCATTGTTTCCCCCACCCCTAGTAGGCAGACAGGAAAAGAGAACAAATTAGGCAGAAATTTATTGAATTACGAAGATTGAAGCTCAGTCTGAGAACGTTCACCTGATCTCTGTGTTGTGATGATGAACCAATCACACAATCTATGAATATTAAGGTTTAAGTGAAACTATCTTGACAGGCCCTTAATTTCCATTCATACCTTATACAGGTTTATTACTGAAATAAAAATGCTAAACCTACATGCGCCAACCACTTAAACCAGAGAAAACAGATGATATTAAAAATACATTGACAAGTGTCAACACCGCCCACAATACCACCAGAAAGAGGGCAGTTCAGTGACAGTAAGGCCTGACACTTGGTGTTTTGTGGTTTGGCCTTGTAAAAATATTGAAGCTGCAAAGCTTTCCGGATATACTGCAACAAGAGTCGAGTCAAAGCAGGGCTATCCATGACTGGATTTAAAGTGAAGATAGCTTAAAATTGAGGTAAACAAACTCTAATTAGAAGGGTGGGGTTCACAGCAGAGGGAAGTGTAGAGTATTAACTTTATCATTCTTCTCCTACTCACAATACATATCCTCCCACAGGAAATACCATGGTGACCCACCCTTCGAGCATTTGATGTCCAATACGGCTTTCTACGGAAACATTAACACTGAAAGTCAATCCTCAATTCAACAAAATTTACAAGTCGCTGCATGTTTGCTTCTAAGTGCAACAATGGGTGTAGTATACACAGCAGAATACCAATTCAAGCCAGACAGGTGTGGGTATATTTACTGCTAAATTTCTTACGAACTTTCAAATAATAAACCAGATGGTTACCAGTAATTATCAAAGACAAAAAGCAGGAGATAAAAAACAATTAACACTATCACGTTAAGTCATTTGCTCAGGCGAGGAATAAAAAGAATGAAAGCATTATTAAATGCTGCTCTGCCTTCACTGCAGTTGTGCCTGAGTACAAGCCCACTGCAGAAACACAGTTTAAAGATGTTGCAGTAGATCGTCTGAGTCACGTGACTGTAGCTACTTAGCCAAGTGGAAGTCTGATCCTTGTGGAGTAGGAGCCAGGAGTCCCTCTGGAGTACAAGCAGTAATGGCATAGTCAAATAGGCCTTCATCTTTTAAATAATACACACATCACATCAAGGCTTTATTACGTGGAGCTATCTCATATTTCAAGACGTTTAATGCTGTACATTTGAATGCGACTTTAACTGTTTACCAACACTGGGAGGAACTTCTCGCCTTTCGACCATTTTCATCTCTGCAAGGCAACACCATCAGTACGTTTAGCAGAACTATTTATGACGGCGCGGCGGTGCTGCAGGCAGTAAATGAACAGCTCCTTTTAAAAGTCCCCTAAAAGCTTTGCTGTCATGATGAGAGGCAGTTAAGTAGCTCCACGGCTTAGCTGGCAAGCCAGGAAATCACTGCAACCTGGAGCTTTCTTCTGGCAGAACGAGAAATGTGTACTGAAATAGAAAAAGGCTTGAAGTGATACAATTGGTCTCGCTGATGACTGACTTCGGTGAGAACTAAAATTCCAAATGGCAACAATTTAATTTACAGTAACACACGGCTGTGATCAATTGTAGGTGACAGGCTTTTGTGAATAAAGTTGTTTTAGTCTGATAAAGCCAATAGGACCGGCCTTGAGACGCACCTTTTTTGCCAATGGTACTCTGCAGTGTCCTGTTGAGCACTTACTGCAAGAAGAGAGAGCAGGAGGAGACCGTGATATCACTGTTAAATATTTACGTTGCCTCCCACAGTGTGCTCAGGCATGACATACAAGCTGAATACGGCATTAAATGCGGCCATATTTTTCTCACACATGCCTTGGAGAAAACTTCTTTGGGCAGCAAATGGATATAAATATGAAAAGAATAAGATGTTGAAGGAACAAGAATCCTTTGTGATGGGGCGCTTGAAAAATTGATGCAGCTCTCAAGAGCTGGAAAGCTGGGTCTCTACTTGAGTGGTCCTGAGCTGAGTAGTTTGAGAGCAGGAGTCTACCAAAGCGATGGATGCCCAATGATGTGCAACTCTCAGCTCGTTGATTGGACAAATTTTGATAGCAATACCTGCTCATCAGCTTTCAATTAGTCACAAGTCTCACAAACCAAACAATAACTCCATCTCTCTAACATGACAGCATACAGGAGCGTGTCAATTCTAGGAGAAATGAAAAAATAGTCTTCTTATTAATACAAGAGTATCTGCTGTTATGGCCGTGCATGTGACAGCACTTCCTCCACTTTCTCCCTCATCTACCCCAATGTGCAAAACAGGCTCCAGTCAACAACATGAATAATGCAGTTCTCCTCAAGAGTCCTGCTGAAGCACGTCAGCCTGCGTGACTGAGAAGTGAACCACTCATTTCCTTGGCTGGGAAACACAATACTGCATTCGCCCAAAAAACAGAGCTCTTCACTGATCTGTTACTCTGCTGTGCTTCCTTTTCACATGCAGGGTTGTGTGATGCAAGAAAAAAAGGCCTTCTTGGCTCCGCTGCAGATAAGATAAAATCATGTAAATGTATATAGTTTGAGACACAGAAGCAAGTGAAATAATATCTAATAATGACGCATCCTTTACTGGAAGCTATCTTAAATGAGACAGCCTGCAGGAGAGAGGTACGGTAATGGCTTGAGAGTCTGATACACACTTAAGACAAGGGATTGAGATGGACTTATCCATCGCTCATGGGAGGATAAACTGACAAAAAAGCAATCTGATTATTCAGAGATTAAGATATTTGCATGAAAATACGAGATGAGCCATGGTCTGGGTTTATCATAAAGAAGGGCAGGGGTTAAGATTAAAATGTGCAAGTGGGTGAAAACAATGAATAATGGGGCAGTAAAGTGAACAAAAGCTGAGCATGTTACACTATGTATACAGACAGTAATACATTGTGTTTGACAGTGCCGGGGGCCTTAAAGCACACACACACACACACACACACACACACACACACACACACACACTGCAGTTAAAACTGGCAGATGGACAAACAGAGAGAAGCCTGCTTCTGGAGCATTGAGGCCATTCAGGCAGATGAGTGACTTCATCCCGAGCTCTCAAGTTGTCAGCAGCACCTCACCCCACTTGGCAATGACTTATGTGCTCATTAGGGCAGCCTCACCACCAGCACAGAGGCTGATTACTGCAGAGCAAACAGAGCCAAGTAACAGACTAACCTCAAGAGAGGTAGGGGAAAAAACACAAATTGATCGAGCAATAAAGTCTCATATGTGTGCATCATTTGATGAGTTAATTATAGCACTAAGGCTTGTAGACATTACAATCACTAGATGGGCCAGAAAAGAACTATAGATAGGCAGTGTATCAATATCAACAGCGTATAAAATTGACATTTGTTTGGAGTTATATCATGCAACAACCCATTTAAAGTTAGAACGAAATGATGCAATTTTCTGTTTGTCTGTTAAAGCTCAGTGAAATAACCCACCTCAAATTTAGATCAAATACTACAGTATGTATAGTCACACACAATATCGGGTTACACTATCTGCAGCGAGGTCTAACGTAGAGTATGTAACAGTAGTTTTTGTCAATACTGGAGAAGAATAAGGTTGCTGTCACTATTTGACATTTGACACCACACACCTAGAGGAGTGCAACGCAATGCAACGGCCTCAGATGGGCAAAGTTTCCAACTACTGTAGCGACTTGATTTTTTTTCCACTGGAAAAGCTATGAAATAACAGTTAAAACCACATGTTACTGATGTTACAACCAGCACATTAATATAATGACAGGACTTGACAACCTCTCTTATTATCGAACCAGCTACACACACAAGCTAGCAGCGAGATCGTATGTCATGTGGTGACTGTCGGAATCTAGCTAGCTTAGCGTGCTAATGCTAGCTAGCCACAAAAATTCGAGTTAGCGCCAAGTATGAATAAACACTGATTTTTAGAATGCTGGGGACATGTTTTGGCAAGTTGGTACACGCAGTTAGGAGCCAGCCTAATTGTGAAACAATATAGTAAGCAAATATAAACGAATGTGGTGGAAAATAAAATGGAGTTAACCAACTGCGCTCCCAACTACAGCGCTAACTAGCTGACTAGCTTAGCATTTACCTTGTCGGAGTCGAGCTCGGGGTCAGCTTGGCTCAGTCTGTACAGAAATGATTTGGGATCCCGACACAGCGTCTGTCTTGTTGTTAAAAAATACGTCCCGCCGACGTTTAGCCGGATCCATTTCGATGCCCCGACACCGGCTGAAATGTTTCTCTCCGCCGGAGAATGGGCCAAACATCTCCGGTGAAGGGAGCTGCTTGTCTCGGAGCTGTTCTCTGCCATCCCTCTCCTCGTCTCCTCCGCCCTCGCCTCGGCTGTGTGAGGCTGACAGGAAATATCTAAGCTGCAGCCACTAACTTGGGAGTCCACGATTCATGCAAAGCAGAGTGCCAGCGCCTCAGCCACTCCTACCAGCCCACTCCACCAGCACTGACAGACACTTGTATAAATTATTCCAGAGAGAAGAGGTCCTCCCCAGCTTGATCCACCAGTGCTTCAACATGGAGCAATGATCTCTTTATATGTCAGCCTGGAAATGTCAGCGTTTGAAGCGTCACACAGCCTGTTCATATTTCTGTGCACAATATATTTTTTGATTGCAACATAGAAAGTGTCTCTAAAACTTCTCCTGTTGTGTTTGCAATGCAGTGTAAATTAATTTGCACGACACAAAACACTGATCATGGGCCGGTACTTTATTTACATGCTGCAAAAAAATGTGAGATGCCATTGCCACTGAATGCTGCTTGCTTTCACCGTGTCATGACTGTGGTTGTTAACAGAAGACAGGACACATGGCTTTATTTGTATGCCTAAATCCCTACATGCTTTAATTACTGGACTACCAAGCATTAAGTGGAAAATTCATCATTCAACATCTACTGACCTAGCGCACAAATAATCAGAGAGAGAATGAACAGATTCATTAAATTATCAGAATATGATTAAATCACTGAGCAAATAGAAAATGTATGATATAGTAAGAAAAAAGCTGTAAAATATTATAGTTTACAATAATTATTCACATTCAAAGGCTTTACATCTCAATACATACACAACATGGCCCCTGAACATGACTTCAAATCCAAATATGATTCATATATTAGAATTTAAATAACACAGAATGAACTAGAGGCTAAACAATAGCCATCAAATAACCTTATACAAGAATAAAAATACAAAAACTGTATCCTAATATCATTGCATTACTTGCTTCAGATTTTAATAATACATCATCTGTACATCACAGTTCTAGTCAGTTACAAGCCAGGTAGAGTATTCCATACACAATGTAACCGACTGCCATCGACTTGATTCAAACAATTTTCTAACTAGAGGGAAACACTTCTCTAGTGCTTTCCTCAACTTTATAGACAGATACAGCAATTTCATCGGTTATTTGGATCAGATAGATATCTTTTTAACTGACATCCAACCACATCGAGCCCCGGGCCCCAGGGCCAGAGGGTCCTATTCACCTATACTCCAGTCACACACTGCACACACAGACTCAGCTGAAGGAAGAGGACCTTTGGAAAGGACCTTAAGGTAATATGTCAAAAATTAAAAGCATTATGATAATACATATTGCTAAAACAAGAGCACAAGTTAAATCAATCGCTTTAATTTCTATTGGGCCAAACGTCAGAATTAAAACAAAACAAAACAAAAAAAGACGGGCAAATGAGCCCGATGAGGCAGTTCTGCCATCTTGTCCAGGGGACAACAGCTTTACTGTGATTGCTTCGGAGAATGATAGTATGTGTATGTATCACTGTTGATGAAGGTTTTTCCGTTCAGCATGGGGGTGGTCAGCACATAAGATTTAGTTTTCAATAGGACGTACTGAAGATGAGCCGACTATCCCACCGAAAAAGAAATTGAAGAATTCACACCACAAAGAAATAGCCAGTGAATGGTACAGAACAGCCAAATCATCCAATAATATTCGCTATGGTTGCCAATGCAGTCAAAAATACCCACCTTTAAACTTGAATAAACTATATCTCCAGTGCCCTGGGAGAGAGAAGCAGACAAGGCTGAGCTACAAAACTGGCCATGCAGGAAAGATAAGCAAGTTATGATTAGGAAGTACAAGCTAGTGGCATGTTTACCCGCCCCCTGTTAGCAATACATCCTCAGTAACGGCTATGGAAGGCTCACACTTATACAGAGACTGATTCAGACCCATGTCTCACTGCAGACCGGCACTCTGCTTTGTTACATCGAGACCTTAATTGGACTGCAATAAGCAAGTACCAGGAGACTTAAAAAAAAAAAATAAAGAAGAAGAAAGAAAGAAACTCAAATACCGTGGGAACATTTGGGCTCTGACAAAAATATATGTAGGTTTTGAGTTTGGTAAACATGTGAGACTGAATCAGCTTACAGTATCTGTTACAACTATGGAGTATATGCTCTAGAAGTGGGGCCTGACTACAGCTTGCACGTACGATGTAGGATTAGGATATGGTTTAATTAAGATATCAGGATAGGCTCTGGTTCACAAAAGCTAGATTTTGTGTTATGCTATCATTGAAGCAGGAAACCAGTCCTTGCATTTGAGATAGTCCTAGCGGTACCCAAGCTCGTGTCACTCTACAGGACAAGCTTGCCCTTCTCTTCCCCCCCCCTTTGCAGAATGTACAAAAAGCAGATGTGCATGGTGGCAGTCTTATCATCCATACATGGAAAAAATGCAATAGAAGCCTCACAGAGAGCACAAAGAACAAGCAAAGCAACCCTGAATCCAAAGTTGTATTTTTCCCATGGTTCTACTCAGGAAAACAAACAAGGTCTAGATGCCAGCGTCTCTAAGAGTTTGTTTACATTGCGGTGATGAAGGGCACTAAAGAGGGTGTTACTCTGCTCAGTGATTGGCCTCAGAGCTAAAGAGGAGTGGCCACAGGAGGAACTGTGCTCCTATAGGCCAGGGTTTTGGTGCTTTTGATAGATCTTTCTCCATACTTCCTGGATCTTCTTGCACCATCTGTCAGCATTTCCGCTGGGGTCCATCAAATAGTATGTTCGGTTAGGCTGCACAGGAGAGAAAAATATAATAATTAAAACGCCAACCACACATGAGGAGAAATTCTAATCAGTGAACAAGTAGTCACTAGAAACAAATAGTCATGTACCGTATGAACAAAGAAGGTTTTGAAGTTCTTGGCCTCGGGGCGTAGCTCTAGGGACCAAGGAATCTCCCCTTTCAGGACCTTGTTTACAGGATCCACGTAGTACAGGTGTGGTCCTTCAGTGAGAAGCAGCTGTCTCCGTCTAGCAAACAGACCCTGCAATGGAATGCCACACGTCTCAGGACATTAGTTCACCAACAGAGGGGGCTGTGAGGCTGATGAGACTTCCCTCAGCACAGCAGGGAATTCCCCTTTCCTTCCTCTATGCTAACAGTCAGAGATGTACAATGGGAAGTGACTTCATTTATACTGAGCCAAACTTAACTAGAAAACCTGTTGAAATTTTACCACAAAACACAGTCACTGTATTGTCAAGCTGGCAGAAAACTCTTCACAGGGTTCCCACACATTTTCATGGACAAACCTTTAAACTTTTACATGACTTTTTTAAGGACTCCTAATAAAATTTCCACGATTGTTCACAATGTATGGCACAAATATTGCCCCATCTTAAAAATGCAGTATTATATAAAATAGCAGTGGGGGCACAAGTGTGGATTCATGATCCTACATGTGAAATCACGCTGTCTCAACATTATTTTTCTCTTATTCAAAAATATGCGATGCAAACTCTATTCAAACATAATTGCACAGCTAGCTGGCACACATGTAGGAAGAGACAGAGCGCAGGAAGAGAATGATGAAATGTACATGATGGTTGCATTTCAGAGCTCCACTACGTCAGCATCGACAGAAAATAAATTTGCTGTCATGTTACATTACGCAGAAAGTTAGCCACGGAAGATTATTGTAACAATTGATTTCACTGTACTAAACAACACTGGATGACTTTTCCAAAACAAGATTTTCCCACATCTGGAAAACGAGATTTGTGAAATTCCATGGCTTTTCCAGGTTTCCCATGACTGTGAGAACCCTGTCTTCACCTATGAGAAGGCTTGACTTAAAATTATAAATAATAATAATTTTAATTATAGAATAAATACACAACAATAAATATAAGTAACATAAAAACCTCAATTGTACGGCCTAGAATTCACACACACCTTTCGTTTATCCACTGGGCCCATCTTCAGGATCAGGTTATTCTCCACAAACTGGTGCCTGTGTAAATAAGCAACAGCAGATTACGGACTCCGACCCTGTTTCACGCAAACATTCATTTTTTCCCCTCAACAAATTAACATTATAATCCAGCTTCATTCCACATTTCTTAGACATTAACAACACTTTAATCCTAGAGTGATTTGGGTTTAAATAAAACAATGAGCAGCAGGTATTAACAGGCTGACAAGGTTTAAACACTGGACGGGCTTTACCAGGGGTTTCCAGTGGTCTGTTTGTCCAGCAATAGCTGCTTCTCCTCTTCAGTGAACTGCAGGTCCAGCTCAAAAGAGTTATTGTCCAAGTCGTGGATGTACTGCTCAATGTTGCTGCTGGACCTCTGCGGGGGCGTGGATTCATGTGGCGACAGGGAGTGTGATGAGCTGGACTGGGCCACCTGCATGTTGCTGAACTGGCTCAGGAGGTCGTCGTACTGAGATCGGAAATCAGACAAATGGTATTGTGATGTTCGGCTGGAGATTTGTGGTTTGTTCAGGGTTTTGACTTTTTGACCGTGATAAAATATCTTACGTTTCCATAGCAGTCCTCATCATCCTCAGACATGGCTGGAAGGTAGGGGGTGAGCTTGGGGGGTGTCTGTAGGTGTAGGTCACTCCAGGAGATGGTGTCAAAGAAGGGGTGCCGCCTCAAAGGGTCGTACCCTCCCATCTCTTCACACCCAATCCGCTTGGAAGGGTCCAGTGACTGAGGGAAAAGCAGAGACAGATGCAACATGTGTTTCTGTTCACTAGAAAAGCACTACCCTGTAAGTAACCAACACCAGCTGACCAGCATATATATAAAATTATTGTCCCCACAGATACTAGTGACATTTTATTGTATCTTACATAAATTAATCATGGTTCTCTATGACCTACCAAAAGCTGTTTGACAAGATCCTTGGCTTTGGGGAAGAATTTCTCTGGGAATTCATACTCCAGCTTTATTATCTTCTGGAATATTAGGTACTCATTTCTACAACAAACGAAGCACAAGAAGGAAAGAACAAAACAAGAGACTATTAAGAAAAGGTTATTGCTCTTAAACTAATATTTAACAGTAAACCCTAATAGTAAAAATACAACATGATCAGCCATCACTGAAGTGCGGAATGATCACAATTAATTATGCTGTGACAACAACATCCCCTTGGTACTTACCCAGCTCTGAACGGTGGTAAACCAGCCACCAGCTGATAGATAATACATCCCAAGGCCCAGAGGTCAGAGCTACAAAAGAGAAAGAGAGCAGACAAATTATGAACGTGATGCCACTTGTATCTGATTAACATGGAAAAACGAAAATGATTAGCATGTGTATGAGTTGCATAGTGACCTCATACCTCTTGCAGGCTGATTTCTCTGTTAGCAGCTCTGGAGACACGTACTGTGCTGTTCCAACAAAGGAGTTTGCTCTCGCTGCCAATCGATGCAAATACATGGTTAAAACACACGAATAACCATACAAAGAGAGTAAAACACATCTTTTATGTCATTATTACAATTGTTAAACTTCATGCTGATAAGTACAAGTAAAATCAGGATTGTGGTTATACCTTGTTTACTGTCTGATGATAACTGTTTTGCTGTCCCAAAATCTGTTATCTGGATGTGCATGTCTTCACTCAGAAGAATATTTTCTGGTTTCAGATCTCTGAAATGACACATATCGTGTGGGGAAAACAAATACTTAACAGGGTCGGAAATTATATAACAAAAAAAGTGAGAAAGGATAAAACAAACAGAACGTCTCACCTGTGTATTATCCCCTTATTGTGTAAGTATTCTAGAGCACAAACTATTTCAGCTGAGTAGAATCTAGTACAGGTCTCATCAAATGAACCAATTTTGCGAATGTATTTCAGGAGCTCTCCATTCTTTGCGTAGCTGAGACCAAAATCTAAGAAAGGCTAGTTAAGGTCCACTTTGATTATTAGAAATCAATTATTTCTTACATAAAACAACAAAAAAAAGGTAAATTGTTAATAACCACATGCATTGACAAATTCTTAAAAGGATACACAACTTCTCATCATCTTGAAATGTGAAGTAGAGCTTGACGAAGAATGGGTGATCTAGATTTGACATCAAATCCCTTTCTCTTTTCACGTACTGGGTTTTGTTCTCCTTCATAATATGGCGCTTCTCTAAAATCTTAACTGGAGGACAGAAAGAAAAAGTTCAGGATATAACAGAAAAACACACCAAGCAACTTTTCCATCTTGATAAAAGTGTAATTCACGTCATTCACCAAAGGTTGGTGCATTATTACTTACTTGCATATTCTTTCGATGTTACCTGCTCTCTTGCCAGGACAACCTTAGGATAAAAGAACAAGAAAAAAACATTACAAAGCATGTTAGTTTCTTGTCAGGCTTGTAAGAAAATCTTGTAACTCTTAGGGCCTGTTTTGTCAATTCCTCTCAAATGAACTGAGGATGACTCATCCAAGTACATTAATCAAAAGAATGCTAGCATGTAGCAACATCGACCCAGGTATAATTCAAAAGCTAAGTGGAATGCAAGTTACATACCGTCGAGAAGGAGCCCTCTCCCAGTATCTTGCCAAATTTGAAGTCCTCTGCCTTCTTTTTGCGCGGCTGAGGGGCCTGGACAGCCGGCTGTGTGCGGAGGTCTGAGCCCTGGCTGTTGGCAGACCCTCCTGCAGCACGGGCTTCTGAGGCTGAGCCCTCCATGCTGGGACAGTGGCTACTGCTTGCGCCTGGGATAGCAAGTGGCGAGCAGGAGTCAGGGTGGTTTCTTACCATTGATGGATGCGAGCAGGAACAGATGACAACGCTGGGCTGAATGGGCACAACATCATACTGAAACAGGAGAGGGAACATTGAGAATATATCAGTCAGCAGGGTGATGCAGTTGTAGTTCTTGCTTAAAAAAAAAAAAAAAAAAAAAGCCATCTCCATCAAATAGTGCATCTTCTCTTAAGAAATATGGGAGACTTAAACTCAAACTGTCAAAATGGACCTTTTATTGCACCCAAAAACTATTACTGAAAATGCATGAATCATCCCTTCATTGTGACTAACAATCAGTATGCTAGCAAGTTTAGGCCAACGATATCTTGCAACTATAAATGCTGGGAATAAATCATTACAATATAATGACGACAACAACAACAGTGAGAACTTCCTCCGATATTAATTTACATAAAGAACATCCGTTTATGGAAAAGGACACATTTAGCTGTTCAGCGCTTTAAGCTGTTGTTTAAAATGGATGTTAAAGCATTTCCCCATAATTCTGTGAACAAACAGATTTTACAGTTGCTTGCATTATAATTCATTTTTTGAAACCCCCTTATAGGATCAAACAGTAGTAAAAAACAATTTGCAAAAAGATAAGTTTACCAGCTCAAGTTAATAAAAACTATTTATTGTATTTCTGGACGACAGACTGTACAATTAAAACAATATAATGTCCGACAAAACGAGCATCCAACCTAGTCCAGCAAATGTGTATGTGTAATGTGTGTCACACTAGAAAAGACAGAACTTAGAAGATATAGATCATATACTACAAACCCACTTTCCAAGGTTGCTATTTTATATTTAGTGCACCTAACATTCGTGGTAGGATGTTCTGACTTAAATATACAATTTCAAGTGAGACCACTTAAGAAGCAAAGTCTAAAATTGATAAGGACATGCAAGGACTACTGGAGACACCGCTTCTAAGCCTGGTGGTCCCACCCTCCACTAAAAGTTGTAAAAACCATATCAAAGTTATTGCTTTCATGTGACAGCTGTACTTACGACCACAACAACTGCACGGAACACATCAAATGTGTATGCCCATGATAAAACTGACATGGCAGCGAACGCAAACAAACACTGACAAGAAACCCACCAAATGATTGTTGAAGACTCAAAGATAACATACAGCGACCGGCTGTGCTTTACAACAAACTCTTGGATGCCTGTACCTATGTTAGTTATTTTTAACTTACTGAACTACTGTAACACTCTGTGCTGATGTTGTTCAGCTTAACAACTCAGTTAGTACAGTTGGCCTAGCTTCTTCTCATTCAAACCAAGGTGTGGCCATTTAGCTGCCTTATCCGGACTTGACTGTATGGTTGCCAACTGGTCATATAACTATCTACCGACCCATTACTACTAGTCAACCATGTAATGGTTGACAGGTTATCGTTAGCTGACGCTTTCTAAGCCTGAGTACTCGTGTAACAAACCGGCCTGTGTCAACTTTCTTTGCTAACTAACGCCTGCTAGCAAGCTAACGTTAGCTCCTGCTGCCTTGTCAAATAATGCCGGCCATCACTGACAGCGAGTTATAAACTTAACGCTAACAGCCAGTCAATTAGCTAACGTTAGCAAGCCAGGTAACACAAGTAACTTCAAATCCGTGTATCATTTTCGCATAACGCTACTCGGTGATGTTCAAAGTTAGTGTGTCGATACTAATATTGAAATTTGAAAGGTAATGAGTTGACAGTCGATCTACAAAACGTTAACCTTAAAAAGCTATCTTGTAACCAAAGGTGGAACGCAACGAAGCTAACGTTAGCTTGCTAGTAAGCTGGAGCATCGTTCGAAAGCGCGAACATGTTTAGCTAACGTCAGCCAACAGATAACGCTAGTGACCAAGGGGGAACGGCCATACATCCTATAAAACTAACAACAAGCGTTGGTAAATGCTACACCAACGCCGAATAAATCGAAGAAGCTTTAATTGTGAATTAAGCCAGATGTTGGACAACCCTGATTAACGTAGCAAACAGTAGGTGTTGTGTTAGCCCACATTAGCGAGCTAACGCTGCTAGTGAGTCGTAACGTTAAACGATCTTTTGCGGCTAGCACCGCTCTTCAAATGAAGGCCCGACGTAACTATTTGTTGTCAAACAGCCGCCACACTGTACATTTTGAGGACCGGCTTCGAACTGTTATTCGTGTTAAAGTTGCAACACTTACCAGCTGACTTGTCGCTCTTGCCATGGGAGTTTTCCACGAGTATTTATTTGGAATAAAATAATTAGAGAAGCTCCAGTAATGGCTGCCTCTGCGCCTTCATTTTCGAGCTGTGACGTCGTTCCACAACAATGTTACCGCAGGACAGCAGAGGAGAGTCCCGCTGTGTCCGCCCCCCTCGCCACATTTACAACCTACTGAACTTCATCTTACTGATAGGGATTGAGTCAGAAGGCAGCAGTTGTTGATATTCAAATACCACAGTAAACGTGGCCTACAAACCATCTTTGGGCCAGTCTGTTTTAGACTGACTAACAATGCATTGTAGCGAAGTTTATCCAAGTTACAGGTCCTTTATAGCATTTTAGCTCCTCAAGCTGCTTCAACTTTTGTGTAGAAGCCCACAAGTCTGCGTTTATCCATCAAACCATGTGTATTCAACTGAAACATTGACCACCACGTAATCCAGTATGAACTTTAAATTGAATAAAAGTTGATTTTTTTTAAACAATTTATTCAGTTTACATAAAAATAAACATACAATTTACTTTATATTTTTCTTTCTCTCCTTTTCTTTTTTCCACTTTTATAAAACAGGATAACCCAAAATAGCCCTCAGACTATGTATCAGTGATGAGTGTTGAAAAGGTTTTGCCAGTCCTTGCAGAAAATCTAATAATAAAAATCCACAGCTAACATGCTTTATTTGATGATTCAGCCTCTTCCTTTCCATCCTGATGATCTGAGACTGTTCTTGACTCATTGTTGATTTCTGTTTTCTCATCGTCTGCTTCATCTTTGTCATCCTCTGAGGCGTCTGTATCCTCACTGGAGTCATCATCTTCAGGTGCACTGAATACAGAAATTACAGTTTGAAGAACTTAGTAGAAAGTTGGAAATCAGACTGGGAATGTACACATATGGTTTTAAAAATACTGGCTTATTGATTTTTGAATTTCAGGTGACGGTAGATTACTTTCGTTGCAGGTTTAAAAGTTTTATAAAGAGACATACTACTTAAAAAAAAAAAAAAAAGGTCTGATTAAAACTGGCAGCAGGAAAATTAATTTGCAAACAAACAGTGCATCTGACGGATTATCTCATTTTTATATACAGGTTATAAATTAATGCTGACATAATAAATGCTTACCACAGACGTCTGTTGAGATTCCTATATTCTACTCCTGAGTTAACATCAAATGGATCTGTGAATAAGATAGATGATTGCAGGTCATAAGTCTGCAACAAAATGCATCCTTCTCTGTGTAAGGGGCAATTTTCCAGACATGCTGGAAACAATTAGCCTGGTTCCAGACTTCTGAACCACTGCCCACATCTCTGACTTGTTCAGCAATTCAGATTGATCATGACCAAATCAACAAAGTAAAGCAAAACAGCAAATTATATTATCTAATTATTGATCATCAGTCTAAGACACCATGTAGGACATATTTACTTTTAATTTGGAGAAAGCTGCCTAAAATTATGGGCCAGATATCACAACTTAAAGTGTTGTTGATTTTTTTGATGAATTATATTATCATATATCATGAGTAATTTGTAAAGCTTAAAGCCTTTAAGAACTTTTTTAAAACAATTTTCACATCACAAGTGTTTGCATGAGATCAGTGTTTCCCCAATAATAATTCAGCAGCGGTGAGTCACCACAGAGGGAAAAAAACCCCCAACTACAACCCGTGTTGGGGCAAGTATGAAATAGGATGAAAAATATTTTAGTCTAAGATGCAGTTACTAGTGTGTCTGCCATTTTGAAGGAAAGTTTTACTCGTGATAATGTTTAATAGATAGGAACTATTTTAAGGCTCCTTAAAGTTGTACATGAAGCCAAACCAAGACAAAAATAAAATAAAAATAAGGACAGATGTGGGGCTAAAACCCAAATGACTCTATCCACCTCTGCTACACAATTATGTATGGAAAACACTGAATGTGACCCCAGTTTATTTCTTTCTCCCCCATTTTTACCAAACTCCTCCTCCTCTGGTTTCGATGTGAGAAACTCCTTCTCTACAGTGAGCAGCTCTTCCTCTGACTGGCATGCAGCTTAGCGGTCCAGCAGATCTTTATTGAGATCCAGGAACCCTTTCCCCCACTTAAACTTTTTCAACAAGAGCTCTGCTAGTTCTTCAAAACCTGCAAAATTAGATACAGTATGTTAGAGTTTCACTGCCGTAACATGATACAATAAGCAGTGAGGAAGACAATACAGTACATAGTTCCTGAATAACTACAAAGAAATCCTTACCAACTATGCAGAATGTGGCAGCAAAAGCTTCAACACAAGATAACTTGCATGGCTTGCCGTAGTTGACGGGGTTTGCAGCTACAAGATACGGCAGCAATCTGGGATGAGTTCCGACCATTTTACTGAAGGGAGTCTCCTCCAGTTTAGCCCAAGAACAATCGATTACCGCTACTCCATTTTGAGCCACAATCTCTCTGTGCATAAAAGTCCATACAAAACAGTTTTAAGACAAACACTCTGATTATCATTTGATCACAATAAGAGAGTTTTAATAAAAAATTTAGACTAAAAAAAACATTTGTTATGGTGTTAAAGCAATATAATCTTGACGATCAATGACACATTTTAGTTTGCTATAAAAAAAAATGTAAATATTTGTTTTAATGTTCATCATGAAATATGCTTTTTTGGCTACTGATTAAATATAAAACATCTTAAGATCAAACTTTATAGACTGAATTATAAACTGATCAATCTGAGGAAAGAGATGACTAGATTAACTGTTACATGTGGCATGTTATGGCTTGTGTTATTAATCATCATGATGTATTATAATAATATTTTTTTTAACTGTACCTGTCTGCTGGGGTCACATACTTCGTGCCCATGGGACTCAGTATGAGTCCACTAAATCTCTGATTGAGGCGCAGGTTGCGTACAAAGCCCTTGCGCACCAACTTTCTGCCAGTACAGCGTTTTGGATCACAGTGACCCAACTCCCACATGGCAAGTGGACAAGGCAGTTTCACCTGTGGGGCCTCTGCTCCCTCCTCTACATGAAGACTTGCTGAAACACAGTGACAGAGGACAAGGTGTACAGTATGCTGCCAGTGTGAGCACTCTTGCTCAAACACAAGACACAAACACTTTCAGGGTTTGTATTTTTAGACCTTTTCCATCAATGTGCAACCACTTATTTACTAATTACTTACTATATATTAATATGGCATAAGTCAACAGAGGTGGTGTCATATTTTAAATCAGCACTTTGCAAAGAACATGAATAGTAACCATTGTTTTAATCATGAAATGATAACCTTTGAAGTAGTGCATCAAGGCCTTGTGGCCCTGTACTGAAATACAGTGATGTCCTATGCTTCTTTTTCAGATACCTTGGTACATTTGTCATTCCTTTAATATTTACTTCATCATAGAGACAGGATAACTATTGCACCTTGTTAAATCATGATCTTTCACTCCACATGTGAATTATGAGGCAAGCACAACACACTTACACACATATTTTTATGTGATAGAGTCAATATATTACCTTCAAAAGCAGTGTGCATTTCTTCTGTAAAGGCCTCTAATGATTTCCCCTTCATTTTATGTCTCTTGTCTTTGCTCTTGTTGTCAGGGCGCACAAATTTACCCTGTTTCTTTCGTCCCATGTTGCAAACAGCGGACAGCTAAGTTAGCTACTGTCAGAGCACAACCTGCATTAAAACTAACCAGCGTCTGTTTACTCTGACACTAGCTAGCTAGCTATCCCACTGACACCAGTATTTATCTTACAAATAGCAAACGTTTCGTATTTTATCGACGTGTACACCATGTATGGATTCAAAACGATAACCACAACACAACTGTCACTAGTCTCCGTTTATCACGCACTTATTTTAACACCATTAAAAATAAAGTTTCGTTAGCATTAGCCACTTCGTATCGTGGAAAGCACGTCGTAGCCCGATATACAGCGCATGCGCATATTTTATTTTGATCACGTGCCCTGTCATCTGACGAACGGCTACCAAAGCAGGAAATGTATCCAGAAGACAAACCGAGAGGACGTTTTAATCATTGAAAAATCAGCCATGCAGTGTTTTTGTAACGGAATACATCATGTGTTAAGGTTGTGGATGGTCTGCGTGTCTCTTTTCAGTAAGTACTTATATTCTCAGTTTGATATGTCTTGTGTAAACTAAACCAAATGCGCCACAAATATGGGTACGTATGGTTGTATGAGTTGAGGCTGATGTCGACTGTTCTTTGCACAGTAAACCATGGGTTCGCCGGTAAAATGAAGATAGTCGAGGAGCCAAACACATTTGGGTACGTTTAGCAGAGACATATCTGTCACAATGTGCTTCTTGCTGATATTAGCCCCTTACTGACTGATTTTCTGTCTCTGTTTAGGTTAAACAATCCTTTTCTGTCTCAGGGAAGCAGACTACAGCCTAAAGTGACCCCAACTCCAGTATCTGGTAAATTGTTTGTCACCAATTAAAACCTACATTTGATCTGATCCTGTGTTTTAAAGGAAATGGTTAACTAGTAGATACTGAGTGGGATTTTAAGTTGATCAGCTCAAGCATTGAATTGATTTATCATGATAACACCAATGTCTTCTCAAGGCCCTGCACATTTTCATCGGCTTGCTGGAAAGTGCTTCAGTCTCACAGAGTCAACGTAAGTTTTTTACACATATCATGCTCACATATGATCCCCATTTCTGCTGGCTCTCGTAAATGATCTGCTTTGGATGCTGATTGTTTGATGCAGTCATGTTACATCTGGGAAAACATAACAGGGCATTTGTGTGCCTGGTTATTTTGCAGGTATAAATATGAATTCTGTCCATTTCACAACATCACCCAACACGAGCAGTCTTTTAGATGGAACGCCTACAGTGGGATACTGGGGTAAGATGCAGTAACCTCACCTCACATTACCTTTATTGCAAATATCAATATGTGAACGACTGCCAAAAAGCTGTGGGTTGATTGTAATAGTAGCCTTTTGCATGTCCCTAACAGGATCTGGCAGGAGTGGGAAATAGCAAACAACACTTTCACGGGCATGTGGATGAGAGACGGGGATGCTTGTGGAACGAGAAACAGGGAGACAAAGGTTAGTGGGGTTTTAATTGTAAAAAGGGTAGTTCATCCTGAACAAATGGGAACAAATTTTTCCTCTTACCTCTCTTACCTTTCCTCTTGTAGTTTGGTAACAAGAAAATAGTTCCCACATGAAGATAATCCACAGATGTTGTTGTGAGCAGTTTCATGTAGGAACTATTTTCTTGTTATCAAACTACACCCATCAACTGCATCACCACATAAGAGGAAGTGTGCATGTTTACAGCTCAGCTGAGGAGGAGGCCATTAATGTTTTTATCCTACGATGTCACAAGCCTCTTGTCCAGTTGATGCATACTTCCTGCTGCATGGTGATGCAGTTGGCGAGTGCAGTTCGGTAGGAAGAAAATAGTTCCTAGAGGAAACTATTAAAAACAAGGTGCAATGATTTCTGCAAAGTCATTGCTGTTGAGTTTTTCAACTGTATTTTTTGGCACTTTGATCACCACAAGCTGAGTGTCATCTAGTTCTATTATATTTGAGAGAAGGCAGACATCTCTATGACTGATATGTTCAACACTCTGCAACTCATACCCACACAATCTAGATTGCTAAACAGCACTACAGATGAGGGAAAAATATGTATTTTGATTTCAAGGTGAACTGTCCCCTTAAACTCTTTCTGGTAGTCATTTAACAGACTTAATGATCTCCCCCTTTCAATGTCTGCATTTCTTCTTTAATATGAGACCAATCAATTAAGTAACACCAGAAGACCATGAAGAAAACCCTAAACATCAAATTCATCAGTTAATATTTACCTACAAGTCTAGACCAAATATATCATTTGATGCTCTAAGAGAGTTTTGAATAGTTTTTGACCCCAGAGCCACATCAGACCATCAACTCAAAATCACGGTCAGGATTAAATCAACAATATAAACACTTGAAACTTAGCTAACTTGTTTATTTTGACGTTTCTGCAGGTGATTTTTGTCTGCAGTCCAAGCAGCAAACTTGCTCAAGTCTCAGAGCCCAGTACCTGTGTGTACTCGCTGACCTTCGAGACCCCGCTTGTTTGCCATCCACATTCCCTTTTAGGTAAGACAAAAGATCCATCTTGTAGAGCAAGACGGCCATGGGGTCAGTCAGTGTTAACAGTGATGTCTTATCACTTGTGTGCTCTTTTAAAGTGTACCCGACACTGAGTGATAAGCTCCAAAAGGAATGGGACGAAGCTGAGCAGGCTCGCTATGAAGGTCTTATAACTGAGCAGGTAAAGACCAGTTTGGCTGATCACTGCAAGCTGATGAAATGTACTGGTGTACTTAAGGTTCCCAGTGATTTACAATGAAAATTAAAGAGTTTTATTCCAGTTTCAGTCATTATTAGCTCACGGCCTTGCCACTAACACACACTGTATGTTTGCTGCAGGGATACAACAATCTTTTGAGGGATATTTTTGAGGATGCTGGTTTCCTAAAGAGCCAAAAAGTCAAGATAAAGCCGCCAGAGGTTGCAGCTGATTCGGGAACACACAACTCTTTACAGAAATGTACAGAGGTGTGTACATTTATGTGCTCTTCCAAATAATAGCCAACAAAAAATGTATAAGCACAATACTGCTTAAAATGCGTGACGGAAACTTTGTATGCTCTTATAAATATGTTCATACAGGATTTCCAAAAACAGAGGGAAGAAATTGAGAGACTGCGTGCTCTCCTCACGCAACACAATATTTCCTTTGATTCACAGCAAAGTAAGTGAACTCAACTACACTGTCTTCACTCATTGACAAGTTATACAGTGTTGCTAACATTATTTTGTGAAATATCTTTGCTATGTGTCACAGATAAATCAAAAGGCGCAGTGAGTACGACGGCTAAGAGTAAACACCTACGGGGAGATAACGGCCTGATTGATCTGCAGTGAATGCCTTCCACAGCAAGTCACACTCGACAGTGGATTTGAAGATTTTGTTGGGCAATGTGAGCGACACAGACACTCACTGGACAATATTGCTGTCACTAGTGATGGCACTAAAAGTTAATTTAAACACTGAAAAAAACTGAACTCATTTGTGGATTACAAACTTGTCGGAATGTCGTGAACCATTTTTTCAGAGGAGTTCCAACACTCAGCTGGCTCTCTCAAGGACTTTTTCTGAGTCTTGTAAATGAATCAAATGTAAACATGCAACCATATTGAGAAATATGCTTTTTTTTTAAATAAAGTTTTGAGAGGAGGAACACGATACATTTTTCCATGTCAACATTTGAGTCTTCAGCAGGTCTACAGTCTCTCAAAAAAATCTTCTACTAGAGATGATTTGTGCTCTGTTTTGTGTTTGGTTGGTGGACTTGTGCCTAGTCGCAGACACTATCAGCAAACATCTACAACAGTATGACTGGATTTTTTGTTGTTGTTTAAATGAATAGGGCAGGTTATTTATAAATAACTGACATTTTTTTATGTGTACATGTGGACCAAAAGGCAACAGTAATGCAAAAAATAGCAAATATAGACTTATTGTGTTGTTTGTTTCTCTTGACACAGTAAGAGGAACTTACTTAAATGTCTGTGTTTGGGTTTATTTTTTAGTAAATCCAGGAGGTGATGTCACCAACCTTCACTTACATATAGGCTCAGTTTCCTTCCTCATAAGTTTACAGTCTGAGTTAGGGTCAGAACAGGTGGCGAACGTTCTCCCCGATCCTGCAGCCAGAACTGGCTCCTATAACTATTGTATATCTGTTTTGGGCATTTACGAGATGTTAATTATGGGCACGACAATGCCTGGCTATATGAATAATATAGAAAAATTCCAAAATTCCTATGAGATTATAACCACAGTTTCAGAATGGGTCTACATTAACCTCAAAAATAAGTAAATAAACACAAACACATGTATGGCGCATGAACTACTGGGCTGGAAGGAGGAGGGGAACAAAACTTTATCATGCTGATGTACCTTGAGTGGATGAGAAAAGTTATTCTCATCAGTGACTTCACAGATTATGGGCTTTGACATGCACAAACATGTCTCGACTACAAGCATTCCTGAGACTTTTAACTCCAGCAGTTTCTCAGATTTCTGCATCTTCTCCTCATCTGTCCAGAAAGGTGAAACTGAACTCTGACTTCTTTACATTTGGAGTTGGAAAAAGCTGCGGTGTAACTTTGAATAGTAATTAAAAGGCAGGCCGATTATTTATTTATTTATTTTTGTATAATATTGTAGTTGTAGCAACAGTGTTCCTTTTGTATTCAAATCCGAACTTACAAATTTCATCAAAGTATGAATGTTGCAGTGCCAAAATGCTGTTTTCCAAAGCCTTTCTAAAAACATTTTCCCACATGACCTGACGGAGGTTTCTGCAGGATGACATTTCTACATATAAACCACTCCTCGCCCGCTTAATGTTCGTGACTGAACCAAGCCTTCTACTTCCAAATTTGCTAACCTGGAAAAGAATGCAGATGGAGTCGACCCCATTGTAAGATTTCATATTTTATACAAATTATTTTGGTGACTGATTACTACCTGGCAACAATGAACACAGGAAAAGTCAAGAAATGGAGAATAAACAGTAACCTAGACACATTTAAATTAAAAAATGTGAGCAATACTGGTAATTAAATCAAAACACATCCTTTCCCTGAAGGACCAGTCCAAAAAACTACATATACAAACAACATGTTTTAGTGTGACACCAGGGTGATTGATCAGTCCACTGGTCAGTCCACTGACCAACCAACATGTCTCAGTCTTTTCCTGGTGGGCTTCATGCCTTTGTTAGATGGTGGTGGGTTCAGGAGAGCAGCTGGATAACTTCTCTGGCTCTGTGCGCCCTCTGCTGGACATCCTTGTCCTCTGGTGCTTGTCCCGACTCTTCAACCAGAGCTAAGGCCTTCTGCACTGTGGTGTCTTTGGCTGCTCCGCGCAGCCCCTCCAAGTACTCGAGCAGCACGGAGAACTTCTCATCTGGAATCTGAAATAGAGTTTGTTGAATTAATGTGTTGCTTGAATTCTGTTGTCTGTTTATATTTATTTTTATAAATAATGTTTTTTTATTTAGTTTATGTGTGCAAGTCAGGGAATATCAGACAAACTGGAATTTGTTATTCTAATAAGATATCTCAAAGTTTCTAAAGTTTCATATGTCATGTTTTTGCTTCCCAGTAGCTGTGCCCCCCCCAGCGGAATAATGTGTCATGCCACACCACAGAAACTCCTCAGGAAAGGATCCAAGGAACATGACAATGAGCTGAAGGCGTCAACCTGGTCTCCAAATTCCCCAGATCCCCATCTGATCAAACATCTGTGGGACATGTTGGTACCCCACCTCACAACCCACGGGACTCAAAAGATCTAAAGCTAACGCCCTGGTGCCAGACACCAAGGGACACCCTCCAGAGATCCTGTGTCCATGCCCTAACAGGCCAGAGCCAAGTCCGGTCCAAGGAGCACCCACCGTGGATTGGGGGTACCAGCACGTCCCTCAAATGTTCGATCAGATTGGGATCTGGGGTATTTGGTCATCAGGTCAACACCTTGAGCTCTTTGTCCTGTTCCTCGGGTCATTCCTGAGTAGTTTTTGCGATGTGGCATGGTGCACTGTCCTGCTAGAAGGCCACTACCATCGATACGTTCCATTGCCATGAGGGGGTTTATTTTCTATTCTTCATGGCTATTCACTTCACCCACGAGTGGTTTTAATGTTTTGCCTGATCGGTGTATATGTCATGTTACTCTGTTTTGTCTTTTTGCACAATATTTTGGTATATTTAGATTACTTCTCTATATTAATACAGACAAACACTGAGTATCATTACTGAATCATATCAGTCTGGTGTACACTGTTGTCAAATTCAGCAAATATTTCCTCATGGTCTGCTAGCTGTGTATGCACTGGGAAAAAAACACAGTGGCTATGTAAATAGGAAACAAATTGGTTCGGGCCGAGGAACATAACAATATTGTGTCTGCTTGTGCACAGGATAGGGGAAAGGCTATGGATGAAAGAAGAGAAAGGCAGTGGGAGCAAGAGGCATAAATAAATAGTAGTAGTTATTTGTATCTTAATGTAGTATTCAATAAACATAGTAAACAGTAGTATATTGTGTAATTATAAACGGCAGCACAAGAGAGCATCTTTAAATAAATTTAAGGGCAGTTCATAAATATTAATACACTGGAACCAATTTTTATAAATTTACCTTTTTGTTCCTCAAAAGCGTCAACCACGCTATATTTACAAAATGCTACTAAAAACAGACTTGTCATTATACTCTATGACTGGAGATAAGAGAGTGGGTGTAACTCACAAACTAATCAGACAGGAAGACATCACTCTGAGGTCAACACCCCCTCACTGTGAACATCGGCAAAGAAAAATCCCCCATCATCATCATCATCACAGAGTGCTCACACTGATTCATTTTACCTGTTGGGGGTCAAACATGTGCTGCAGTAACCACGTCTGCCTCGTCTTCTGGAACTTCCACTCTGTGCGGTTGTCGGCCCAGCTGCACAGACGAAACCAGAGCACGTTGAAATTACAAGAAAGGGGTTTATTTTTTTCATACTGCAGTTTGTTGTCTGTAGTAGTATACTAGCTTGCTTCAAAGTGTTTGCTGCATTCAGTCCTCCTACACATAACAAGGGACAGGACCTAGACCTTGAAAAGATCTAATGTCGCACTTTGGTAACATAAGAGAGAGATTAGGGGGAAAAAAGTCAAAATCAAAGCAGTTGAGGAGATATACTGAATGTCAGTCCCTAATATGGGTCAATGTCAAACACACTGCATCACACACTTCCCACAGCGCAACTTGATAAGCTCTTTCATCAGACCCTCAAACTCAACGCCCCAGGTTTGCAACACAGGCTTTCTGTTTCAAATCTACCACAAGGGCTATTTTTCTCACACTTCACAAAGATCCTTAAGAGCCACAGAAGATATTTTACACAAGTCCTCATTATGACTAGTATACTGAACTTTATCTGTACAATGTATGGGATTTCCTCTTCAGATCTAATTCAATTCACTCACCAAACTCACCACCACAAACAACACCCTCAAAAATTACCCAAGACTAAAAGCAACACCTCTCTGACACATATTCAACACATGTAACCGACATAACCAAGGCTGTGTTTGCTGTGAGGACTGTACTGAATTGCATTATATTGTTCAGTTGTTCCTGATTTCGTGTAATGGTGCTACAAAATGTTACTGAGGAAGTATGTCATATTTTACTATCAGCAACAGGTTTAAAAAGGTAGTTTGTGAACCACTTGTGGTCAACTGGATCCATATCATGGCACAAGGGAATACTTCAACTCCCAAATGATGATTTATATATCAATTATTCACTCCAAGTTGCCGTGAATTCGTAAAGCAAACTTTGTTTTTCTCGCATTCCTCAGCCATGAATGAAGCATCTAAAAATAGTTAACATTCACCATAAATTGAAGTTAAAGTGGGCCTCGTTTAACAGCAGCAAAACTAAATTTAAACATTGGTTTACAAACTCCTCAGAACTTATGCAGTCTCATTTATCCAGTTGGATGTAAGGTACTTCCCAAAAATATGCATTTTTGCTGGAGCTTTAGTGTTTACATCTAAACTCAAAAGTGAAACATATCTGTGCTCTCCTCAAAGCCAGACTCAGCTGACAGTAATTTTATCTCGCTGAGCACAAGAGCTGCTGGTCTACCACCACCTCCATCAGTTAGTTTTGCTTTGCTGAGCAGCTCCTGTTTTCTGCAAGGTAAAATTACTGTTTTTTTCCAATGGAGTCTGGCTTTAAAGAGGGCATCGCTAAGTTTCAGTTTCAGTTATGTTTTAGTAAACACATGTTTGGAAAGTACTGAGAATACCACTGGATACATAGGACTTGGGTTACACTGCATGAGTTGTGTGAGAGTTTGTAAACCGATGTTTTGATGTAGACATGGACCCCATTGACTTCAATTCATCAAGACTTTTTTCCAGTTTTTGGATTCTTTGTTCAGCGTAAAGACATGTGAGAAAGAATGTTTTTTTCACAAATTCAACATAACCCGGGGTGAGTAACTTATACACAAATTATCTTTTGGGGAGTGAAGTATTCCTTTAATTAATATCCACGTGCTTTGGACGTGTCGTTTCTTCTCTTAGACATGATGACATCATAGGCAAGTGACAACCTGTCCTGTACTACATGAGAGTGGCTCTTACCAGATGAGATAGTCTAAGGCCTGCTGAGGTGCAATGGGTCCAGATGCTTCAGGTTTCTTTTCAGTCTCTCCCTCTGCTTTGAGCCTCTTCTTCTCCTCCTTTTTCAGGATCTTCTTCATCTTCCTCTCCAGGACCCGCTTCTCCTCGGGGCTTAGGTCCTCCTCTCCCTCCACCTCGTCTGTCCTCCCCAGACGATGGGGTGGATCTGATTTCTGTCACACCAAAGCAAAACAAAGGCTCATTGGAGTTATCTACATTAACAGGCCTTCCTTTGTAGACCCTTATCATTTTCTGCGTTCATGTAAAGCCATTTACAAAACATCCCTAAATAACTCACGCTGAGAGTGATCGAATGATAAGAAAAATGTTGAAACAATGATTTAGTTTTGTGTAATGAACAGCCACTTCCTGCCGGTTTTCAGTAGTTTATAGTTTTCCTGGTCAGTGCAGAGCTAATGCTAGATGCCTCATGCATCTAGAGTTTAATTTCTACAGTAAAATGTAACATAAATGTGACATTTTGTTGCGCTGCAGCATACAGATGAGACAGCTAAAGCACTTTTTGAGTTTAGATCACTTCCTGTTGCACTGCAGCTCTGAGGGACGTTTCCTGAATCTACAGCTTTATGAGGTCAGCATCACACGCATTTATAGTGTGTGGTGAAGTTTACCGTGGTGCGCAACATGCCTTCGGAGTTGCATTCAAAACAGTTGCTCTGAACCACAGCACAAGTGTGCATGATTTAAAAATAACCACCTGTCAAGTCAGTTTTTTGGCCAATCACACAGAGGAGCCACAAAACAAAGCAGCTGTTGTGTGAGTGAATTTTGAATCGAAAACAGAAATTGTGTTGCAGTTTCATGACGGAGAAACAGATATTTTACTTAGTAACAGGGTGAAACTGAGTATCTAGCTCCCCATTTGTCTGCAGAATAATTGAAGCTCTGCAAAAGACTTGTTTAAACTTTTTCTGAGGAGAAATAAAGAACCAAATTAAAGTCATTTTGCAGCAGCAGTAGGCAGTTACCACAGCACAACTTAAAGACTGCATTTAACTCTCTGGGGAAGTTAAACAAGGGACACAGTATGCTCTGATTTAACGGTGCTCTGTCTGCAGGGTGATGAAGTAGAAAAAAAAAAAAGAGGGAGGGGAGGGAAAGATTTTGATCACGTGGCCACGAAGTCACTCTGAAAGTATGCTGGCGGGGTATTGCCCACAGAAATATAGAAAGTGCTTCACAGTGAGCGGCTGTGTCCATGCGACGAGCATCATTTTAGGAGCTTTGGGTCGATCGGCAGCGTCAGGGCTGGTGGATACACAACAAGAGAGGAGCGGGTGACGAAAGCAAAAATGGTAAGTGGAAACATGTGTTTTCACTGAGCAGGCAGTTCCTCAAAGAGGAACAGACAAAGACTGGCCAACGGGGACATGCGGTCGTAGAAAATACTTTAGAAAGAAAACATTATTACATATCTAGTCAGCACTGCATGCATTTTAGGGATCTATAATAATGACTTCAAGCTAACTTAAAATTTCAGCCCAACTTTGAGTTAATTCAAGAAGGAAATGCACATATGTTGAAAGAGTATGTTCCTGTGGAAAACCCAAGTAAATGATTCACAGGCTGAGTGACAGTAAACACAGTTTGAAATGTATAAAACACAGCTGATAAATGTGTTTAACTACTCAAATATGGTTGTTCCTTAGCGCACTAAAAGAGCAACCAATGTACAGACAGCAGGTGATTAACAATTGCACCCACATTATCTGAACTCTGCTGATAGTTCACCACATTCAGATGGGAGGAAATGTTTGACTAACAGTTGAGGGTGATGCTGAGGAGGACAGGATGTCATCAGTATTTGTTTTCTCTTTTCACTTCCAGCATACTCAAAACGTGGACTTGCTCACCACTGAGATGAGCACCACGCCTCCATTTACCGACAGTCCCACCGTCGTGGGCAACGCCACCACCGCTGCCATCAAAATGGACAACTCCACCTCTGCATTCTCCCCTCAAAACAAGTTAGATGAAATCTCAGCCAATGACATCACCTCCAGGGCGAACTACTTCTACAGTTTCTTCGCTGGGCTTGGCTTCATCGCCGGGTGCTTCCTGATCTACAGCTTCATCCAGACCTACAGAGCCCAGAGGCGGCTGGCCTGGCTCGACTGCCTGCTCTGGGCATTTTGTGGCCTCCAGCTGCTGCTCCTGCTCCTCTCTCTGCACATTGTGGCCTACAGACCTCATTACCTGCTCGCAACAGGTTTGGGCTGTGCTGCTCTCTCCTTTACCATCAACACGGCCTGTCTCTGCGGTCTGCTGGTCTTAGTGCTGATGGCTTACGTGCTAACACTGGATCCACCGTCCCACGCCCTGCTGAGGAAGCCTTGGGTCTGTGCGGCTCTGGTGTTCCTGACTTCTATCTTGATTTCTCTGCTCCTGGCCGGGCTTCGTGGACCCCGAGATGGTCTACAGGAAAAAGGCAGGTGCTTTATGGATCCAGTCCAAGCTGGTGTGTCTTACGCAGCTGCTAGGTTGTGCCTGGCTTTTTTGATTCCCTACATCCTCCAAATGGGACTTCTGATAGGTGGCTGTGTCCGGCAGTGGAAATCTAAAGGACGTTTCCTCTCCGGCTCCGAGGAGGGTCCTGTGTTCCTGGCAGTGACCGTGGTCATGTTCATCTGCCAGTTCTTCTACAGTGTGGCGCTGGTGAGAGGAGCACAACTGGCACAACGAGAGGAGGGGCTGACCCATCACGAGCGTGCGTTTCTGAGCGTGGCTGAGTTTGTACTGTTCTCAGGGAGCAGCGGCAGCCTCCTACTCGTGCTGCTCCTGCACAGGCCATGTCGAGAGAGTCTCCACGGGGTGTTCAGGCAGCTGAGGGACTGCTGTCAAAGCCCAGGGCGCACGCAGCCCAACAGGAACATCATAGCTCCCCATATTGAGATCACAGACACCCTGCAGGATATTGAGTCATAGAGGACAAAGACTCTCTCATCTGTGAGCACAAAACTCCTCTGATGCATCGAAATAAAGACTTTTGAAACTTGACGTATTAAACATAATATTAATCTAACTTTTAAAATACTTTCTATTTCTCTAAAGTGACAATTTAAATGCTTTTCCGTGCATGTATTTCTCCTTTATTTTATTGTACATTTTAATTTTGCAAAAATAAATGTTGTGCTGTACGTATTCAGAATTGTGCTACATGTACAGTCCTTATTGTAACTGTTGCAATACTAACTTATAGAGTTGTTAAAAATCAACAACCATGAATAAGACAATTAAAAAAGGACGTACTGTCGGTAGTGGCTGCAATCTCACATCTTTTGAACCTGCTCTCACAGAACAGACTCTGTTTTGCATAAACACAATTTGCACAAAAGCCCATTTAGACAAAATGCCTGGAAAACTTCTGCGACTCCCAGAACGCCACATAGGAAACATTTAGTCAGGGAAAAATAAAAGTCAGATCCTAAGCTGAGGGCCAACAGTGTCAGTATTTTCCAAGAAATTATTTTAAAGCTGTTAAACTAAACAAGCCAGACAGGCGACACTTTAAACTCCTTTCAAGAAACTGATGGGCACCAGTTCTAGGAATAACTGACCTGCATGGATCACACATTACATCAGTGCCAGCAGAGTGGCACTAAACCAGGGACCAGTAGGAAAATTAAAACAGGAACTGGATTGCACAAGATGTTGGCGTCGTGTAAAATGTCAGACCTGATTCACACTGTGTGAAATCATAGCAGAAGTTGATGCATTACAGCGTTAACATCAAATTTATCTACAGTCTCGAAAAGGCGCCTGTAAAGTAAAACAAAAAGCACAGTAAAGGGTGGTGCTAAAGTCTGAAGAAAAAAAAAGGCTGAAGTGAGGCTATCATTGTCTGACCATGTTGTTTTGTGTAAATACATTGTTTGTCAGTCTTTGCTTTAATTCCCCCGAGTCCCATATTTATATATTTGAACATTCTACAATCATAGTCGTGTTTATGCTTCAGTGCTGACAAGTTGGTTCGTGTCCTAACTGGACAAAATCTTTTATGCAATAAAATAAGCCCATACAAAAATACATAGGGGGTGTACAATGTGATGACTTCACCACACACCATATAGTAGTTGTTGAGGTATTTCAGTCTTGACCACACTGGCTGACCAGAGCGATGCGCTAGCAGACTAAAAAGCCAATTTCCTATTTGAATGCTCTATTCCATTTTTAAAAGTATGTACACAATGTGTCAAATAGGGGTGGACGATATGGCCTATAAATAATACTGCACCATTTTCAGACTACATCCTGCTATACAATATATATCATCAGATTTTAAAAATGTCCTCTAAACCACTGCAGATTGCTAAAATACTAAACTATTAAATAAACTGTTACAATAAAGTTTAATAAAGTACAATAAAGGTCAATTAAGTACTGAATATAAAAAGCTTTAACAAAGTACTGTTATAATACAGTTAAAGACTATATTGCTAATAAACTGAAGTGAAGCCATGACGAAAAACTTAATTGGATGAAAAACTATGAATCGTGTCTGTGTGCACGCCTGCATTGTGTGTTTGTGTTTCTTGCTGTAAGTGGTGGGCGGCACCACAACACTTTACTGTGACACCTGCTTTCAAAGTCACCACCACACAGACGGGAAAGATTAGGAAGACCGCAATGCAGTGCAAGAAAACTCAGGTAGGTTTTTTCATATGAATTATAAAATTATTTATATCAAAGCAAACCGACTTTAATTGTCTTGTAGTTTTCAGATTTAAAAAAAGAATTTCTGGGCATTTTATGTCTTTGTTATTTAAATGACAGCAGAGAGAAAGATAAAACAGGGTCAGTGGCTGGTCGTTTATGCTTGGTGTCTTACAACCCCAGACTACCAGACCACTTTACTCAGAGTGTCTACAGGTTACGACAGTTAAATTGAATGCTTTTTAGGTCCTGTTTAAGACACAATTTAACCAAATTTAGGACAGATTTTTGGACAAATCATGTAAACATGCCAGGCAAGTAGTATATATGTGGTCTTGTGCAGAGGTACCTGTTTATATATAGGAATATGGTTATTAGAGTAAGTTAAGTAAATCTAAATGTTGCCCTCATTTTCACAAAATGAAATTAAAAGATTGATAAATGACATTAAATAAAATGTGTGTAGTTAACCCCTCACAAATTCAAATGTAAGACTATTTAATGTCTTTTAAGACATTATTGTTATAAGATTGAATTCAAGACATAGTAAAACTTTAAAGGACGTGTAGACACCCTGCTACTACTGTGATTTTGTATCAAAGAAGAAAACTGCATCAAATCTGACGTTTTCCTCGAGAGAAACAGCCACAGCAGAGCTATAAGACAATGATAAATATATAGTTATAAACATAGTTTTGTAACTGATCATGTGTAATAATCATAAATGGCATGGTATATGACATTTGTAAGAGAGGGTATAATCACTTATATTTAAACAAGAAACATCCCTTAATCCCAAATTGCCCAAAATTATTTCCAAAGTGAGCATCAACCAGAGGAGGGACCAAGTTATTGTTTAGTAAGTTACAAGTCTCAAGTCTTTGCACTCAAGTCTAAGTCCTAAACTTTGAATTTCGAGTGCCAAACAAGTCACAATGTCCTCTTCACCAAATATAACTGCCATTGCAACAACAGAATAATATTAAATATAAACATATTCAATTTACAAAAATCTTAAATGCTTTTAAAATGTTTTATTTGTTTAAACAGGTCTGTTGGAAGTAGTTGCATCTCCATCTATAATTTTTCATCTGCATATTTTGCGTACTGAAATTCAGTTTGTGTAGACTACCGCATAGTTTTTGTACGCTAACAAAATTATCTTTGGTATAATTTTTTTCCCAACTGCCGCTAATTCACGCAACATTGGTTCTTTATGGTTCTCTCCTGCAACTTGATTGGATGCTGTCGGATTGCTTCAAACAAAGTGGATCTGTGGAACTAAGTCTTGACTTACTAGTGATGAATAGCGTTAATGTTAGTTGATTCAGGAAATGAATTGATTGGTGACACACTTGTAAATTAAAATACTTTTAAATCTTTAGGTTTGGGGGAAGGTATCAAGTGTTTTAAAGTCAAAAGGCTCCTGTCCAAGTGATGTCACGAGTCATTGGTGTTAAAGTTTCAATTTTTTTGGGATTTTGTCGAGTCTAAAGTCATCGAATTTGTGACTCGAGTCTCACTCAAGTCCAAGACATATAAATAGAGTTCACACCCGTGGCATCAACTAATGTTTAGTATATAAAAAGTGTTGTCAATTTTTCTGCCATTGAATGATAATGTACAGAGATGTTTTTGCCTCCTGAGAGTCTATTTATTCACTAAATCTATGTATTGAAAAGATGAAAACTTGCTGTTAACTTGCTACATTTCTCCTCTCTGTCTATAACAAAAAGTGGGAATTAGTATATATCCAAGATGACCACAGCACAGAAAGAGCAACAGATGAGACCACAGTCTTCACTGGAGCAAAACCCTTGGAAAACTAAACACTATGGCAACTTGATGGGAAGCTACTGCTAAAACAATATCAACACAAAAAGAGTAATATGGACAGGACCATGTACGTGGACTACAAAGTCTTCACTGTTCAGCCAAATGACACAGAGGCAGTCGTCTCTGATATTCTGCAGGAAGCTTCAGAGAGTCATCAGCTTTATATCATCAGCCTCTTCCTCTCCAGCATCTACATTATATTCCTGTTCCCCGTGGGCTTCATCGGGAACATCCTCATCTTAGTGGTCAACCTGCACCACAAGGGCCGCTTAACAGCCCCAGACCTGTACTTTGTGAACCTGGCCGTGGCCGACCTCACTCTCGTGGCCGACTCTCTGATCGAGGTGTTCAACCTGAAGCAGGGCTACTATGACAAGCCCCACCTCTGCACCTTCATGAACCTTTTCCAGCAGGCCAACATGTACAGCAGCGTCTTCTTCTTATCCTGGATGAGCTTCGACAGGTTTGTTGCAATGACTGGCCTCATGGGTCGCAGCATGCCGCGCGCACGCCTCAGCTGCTGCCTCATCTGGGTGTCCTCGTCTTTGCTCACCGTGCTTCCTTTTGCCATAGCTCAAAGCCAGCATGCTGGAGAACTCCACTTCTGCTTTGCCAACGTGACCCAGATTCAGTGGCTGGAGGTGATGCTGGGTTTCTTGCTGCCTTTCTGCATCTTGGGTCTGTGCTACTGGAGAATAGCACAGGTGCTCCGGAGGAGCCAGAGGGGACAAGATGGCCCCCAGCAGAGGCCTCGCAGGCAGAAGGCTCTGCGGATGATCTCAGCAGCTGTGTTAGTCTTCTTCCTCTGCTGGCTCCCGGAGAACGTGTTTGTAAGCGTTCACCTTCTAAGAGGTGACTCAGACAGCAGCACACTGTGGCAGGACTACCCCCTCATGGGTCATGCTGTCAGGCTGGCGGCCTTTTCTAACAGCTGTCTGAACCCACTCATCTACAGCTTCCTTGGGGAGACCTTTCGGGTTAAACTGAGGCTCCTTCTCCAGGAGAGGAGCAGATGGGCCAAGCTGCACAGGTCAGCCACCGGGAAATCGTTCTATGTACAAGCTGCAAACACATGTGGCAAAGCCAGTCCACACACTTAAGCTCTAACATTCTTCCACCAACTGTTCCGTTCCCCCGAAACAAAGACCAACTGCATACAGTGGGCCACAATGATAACAGATGACATCATGTCTGTGCCATCAGTGTAAAGACATCATTAATGGACACTGTAAAAGCAAGGACTCAAACTGTTGAGGAAACACTTGTTTAATCTGTTTTTAAAAGGATAGTTTGGATGTTTGGAGCTGGGGTGTTACAAGTACTTATCTATAGTCAGTTACCTACAGCAGGCAGCATTCGGTGCACCCCTCATTTGGAGAAGCAGACAGGAGCACCAACATGGAAGCTACGCAATGCACTGCTGTGAACAGGGTCAGCGTCAAAACATATTTTACCCGCCTAACAAAATCTATATCAGTTGAAGTGTACGCTGTATTGAGAATATTTTCACCACTTTACCTTGATGTGGAGAGCCTACTCCGACGGGAGACTTCTTCTTAAATTAAATGTCATCTTTTTAAGACCTTTTTATTGCAACTTGGAATGTAACATCAGTCCTATTTTGCCATTTAAAGTAATTTAGTAATAAAAACTCAACTGTAAGAATAAAATGTCAAGTCCTCCTTACTTGGCCTCCAAAACATACCTTTTACCTGGTGTAAATCATGTTTTTCAGCACCTTTACACAACTTGTTTTGAAGACTGGGTTGTTACGAACACATGTAAAGAATTGTCTGTTTGGAGCAACACAAATCAGCCGTCAGGGTTCACCTGAGTTCTCACAGAAACCAGTAACTGTGTATATTTTTAAAGGAAACAAAGGGAAAAGGCTTACCTCAGTTTGTGTTGCCATCTGCTCTGTCATGTGTTTCTTTTTGTGTTTCTTATGCTTTTTCTGTTTTGTATCATCTCCTGTGATCGTCACATGAGGACTCTGTACTGGCGCCTCCTGAATTAAATAAAACAAACATTATTTATTATGTTTTTTTGAGCAATTCCAGGTTGTGTCATCAAAAACAGGTGTACACACAGGGGACTGTACTACTCACCTCTATCTTTTTCCTTTTCTTCTTTACTTTAGTGTCCATCATTTCTTCCACATGAACCTCATTGACATTTGGGCTCAGTGTCTTTCTTTTAGGCGGTTTTGACACAGATTTGTCTTTAGCCATGAGATTATTTAGTCCTACAAACAGACACATGTGCACGTTATATAACACAGCAGATATACATACTGTACATAGTGTGCGTAGTGGCTTGTTAAATGGACAATAACAGACTGAAAAGAATAGGGGCTTTTGCATGCTTCATTTGAATGTACTCAACATTTCATGACACAGAGAAACAGAAGAACATACTGACCTCAATTACAACTGAATGTTCAACACATGTAAACAGTTTTCACGGCCCAAAACACAAATGTTACTCTGGTTCATATGTTTCTACGGCGGCCACATAGAATATTTTGACCGCTAAAACATAATCATGGACCAAACATGTATCTTTGCACACTGCTCTTATGTACAAATGAACTTACTTGAACTGAGAAAAATCGTGTAGACCTCCGTAAAGCACACATCCAGCATGGGAACTCAACCAGGAAGTGATGTCGCCCAGATGAAGCGTGATTGGATGGTTATCTCTCTCTGGTTTGTGATTGGTTGACGAATGTGACTGCTTCAATGACCCTCGGTGAGAAAAGCTCTGGAACTTTCAGCAGCAGTGGTATTGTTTCCATCATATATGATATACTATATAAAGGGTGAACAAAAATGAAGATGGCTCGGGAATTCACAGAGGTTCTGAAATATGTTTCAGACGATAAATTCAACAACACCACAGCATTAAAACAGTAGAAAACAGTGAATTTAATACAAGGTATCTTTATATTATATTATTATATTATATTATTACATACATACATTATACTATTATTATTGTTAAAACATTAGCTGGTACTGAGGACTGAAATTACACCAGATACTATGGAGTCTTGTGAGCTTCTTAAAAGCCAAAACGGGATGTGACAGTGAGGTTCAGAGTTAAATCTTGAGCTTCACTTTAAGGTTCATTTAGTAGCAAAAAGAAAATGGATATTTCAACACCTACATTTCTATAAAAACTGTGCAAACTACTAAGGGACTGTGCTTAACTTGTCAGAAGGGGGAGAGTGGCTTGGGTGTGACTTTATTTGTTTGTTTGTTTGTTCACTGAGACTATCTGACTAGGTGACTGGTGATAATGCGGGACATCGACCATTAAAAATAATTGAATAAATGATAACAATAATAATAATAATAACAATAATAATAATAATAATAATAATAATAATAATAATAATAACAGAATAATAACCAAAACAAACAGTTAATTTCTTAAGCAAAATGCAAATCCTCCCTAAAAATGATGTGTTGAATGACTGTCAGAAATGTGAAAATTTCACAAAAATTCTGGTTTAAAAATTGTGATTATTGGCAATTTCTAAAGAAAACATGGCTTTTGAACCCACTAACAGGATTTGGGGTTCAGAGGGTATTTGATATAAATACAACCAAACCATTTAAAGTTGTATGTCCCTTCCATGGGCAAAAAAACCCCCAAAAAACATGAGTCCCGCCCCAGTGCTTAAAAATGATTTGACATGTCTCCCTATTTTGCATCTCTCCCCCTCATAAATAACGAACAGTCCCTAATTAAGATCATGTAATATAATCAGAAGCGTTACAAAATGTCAAACGATACCATATTGTTTTCTTTCCCCACTACAAATCATCACATATCGACTATTCTAGCAAATGAATAAATATTTTAAAACTTTTGGTCCTATATCATGTCAATAATAAAACATAAAATACAAAAATAATATTTTTAAACAGAAAAAAATCCTGTTTAGTGGTTTCATATCACCTTTACATAAAAGTGGAACGGTCCGCGCCTGCGTTCAACTGCGGCACCGGAAGGTATTCAGTGTTGCACAACGCTGTGTTACATGACCTAACCAAGGTGCGTTTGATAAGTAAAACCCTCAGTTTCTCTGTTCTAAGATGACCAGTTGTCCAAGATGTTTCCAGCAGCAGGACGAGTCTTCAGCGGTCTGACACGAGTTGCTTTCAGTCGAGGGACATTTGTTTACAACGTTTCACCGACCGTTGGGTGAGTCACTGCTCACGTTATGTTTGTGAATGTGAAACCATGCTGGCTCTGTGATCATCGTGAGGTTCAATGACAAAGGTCTTAAGTGTAATAATTGTTCCAACCACCGCTGCAGCCTGTTAGCAAAAATGTTGCTTTCATAATGTTGAGACAGTTTGATGGCTGTTAACCACACATACTGACCACAGTGATACAAGTAAGGTGTCACACAGTTTGATATTCAGTCATGGACAGTTCTGTTTGTAGAGTACTTTCACCATTCATGTCAATATTTGGTCAGCACACCACCCTTTTATGTCCTCTCCTGGTGGACAGATAACTACCACATTGGCTTAAAATACAACACAGGATACACTAAAGTTAGTTCCATACAAGCTCAGGACCTGGTGACACATTTTTGAGTTGGTCTACTGACAGTGACCCAGTGACCTCTGTATCAGTTTTAATAAAAGGTATTCAGGATACAGCATATTACATCAGGGGTTTTTATATTAAAGAGTGATGGGAGCTGCCAGAGTCACATAGGGTTTGATTTATATTTCACTGTCAATGGAGCAGCTACAGGATTTGTCCCCAGATGGCACCATCACTGTCTACATCCTGGTCAACTACAGGAGACACAAATTAATTATTAATTATTCAGGTGAACAATGTGATAAAAATGATCAGAACTTGACCAATATCGGATGTTGAGGTCCATAGCGTTATTGATATTTTAAAGTTTATAAGTTATATTGTAGATGCATAGATATTTTTGCTAATCTGAATTTGATTATTTAAGAATTGATCAAAACATGTTCTGAGTGTGACATTTGAAAAGTGGAGACACTGTTTTTAATTTACCACATACACATCTTTGCCTTGTGTGCCGCAATTTGTCGTCACTTACAGGCTGATTAACACACAAATACATATATATCTGCCATTAGATAGTATTGATCCATATATAGGCCTGGCCGATTTATCAGTAAACCTCTACAAATGATTTTTTTCTCCCAGGTTGATCCTCTACAAATTCATCTTTTGAGTCCAATTAAGTGATTTGTCACTATCATAAATTCATTAAACATTGCATGAAAAGTGGAACAAGTCTAATAATGAAGATTAAGATTCTCTAAGTAAAAGTAACAAGAATGTTAAAGTCCTATATTTTAAACCTTACTTCAATAAAAGTTTGGAAATATTAACAGCAAAACATGTTTAAAGTTACAAAATTTAAAGTACTGGATATGAGGAAAAGCTGCCTGTGTTCATGATACATTATTACAGAAAAATATTGGGAATTTGGATTGTGTAGCATTTTACTGTTGAAGCAGGTAATTTTAAACTTAGCTGTCTGTACACTGTAGGATAGTTTAATCTAAAACAATGTATCCTATTTAAAACTTAACTTGGGGTTTTGCATCAATCATCTATATCTGTAAAGTCTCCAAAAATACAAATACTTAAAGCACAAGTATATCATTATTGTGCTCCAACACAGCACTTCAGTAAACATGTTATAACTGATGTATTTTGTGTTTCTTTGTCAGCAGACTGAACGGCGTACAGTCCCTAGCTCTGAGCTCTCAGAGGTCAGCTAAGTCCAAAGATGGTGACGAAGAGGTGAACAATGAGCCCATCAAGTTCTCCACCAGCAAAGCCAGTCACAGAACCTGGAAAGTTGACCGCTCCATGGGGAAACAGTTTGGGCGGCCCTGGTGGAAGGTCCTCCCCATCAGCCTGATATTCGGCAGCTTCATGCTGTGGTGTGCACTCAGAAGTCAGACGGACATTGACTCGCAGCTGGAGCAGCAGCTGTATGAGCATTTACCCAGTTTGCTTTCAGAAGAACAGGAGGAAGAAGTCCAAAATAAATCAAGTTAACAAATATGGGACTTGAGATGTGTATATATTTTGCTTTATATTTATTATGAAATGTTTCTGTAGTATTTCAGGCTGTGGCACCAACTCATTGCTCTGACAACACTGAAGATGTAGCGGTGAAGCCGTCCAGTGCTATGAAAACTACTTTTCTCTGCAAAAAAATGTGTCGATCATACATTGTCTTGTTAATTTTCAGTTGAGTGATCAGAACGTGAGTTAAAATGCCTTGATTGTAGGTGCTTCATCGTCTGCTGTCATTTGTACATTGTATTAATTGTACACCAAAGGAAAAATACAACCTGAAGACATGTATTTGAGCAATCAAGACGCCTGATCTTTTTCATTATATCTTAACCATTTCAGCCATAAATAAAAAGCCATAAAAAGGACAAGAATATGAGGTAGCGGAAAGTTTATTTACAGCACAACAAAAAATCCTATGACATGCACACACAGGATAAAAGGTATGGATTCTAAAATAGATTTGAAATCCTGAGAAAGGCAGTGGAATATTGTTTGTATTCAGCATTTACAGGATATGAAGCTCCAGTCTACAGTAAACAGGACAGTTGGAGAAAGTCAAGAGTGAAATGAAGTACAAAAAAGGAAAACATGCCTGAAACTACAAATGTAAAATTAGGTGGTACACATGCTGGTAATAGTTTCAAGATTTACAAAACAAACCCCAATCAATCCCACCCACACCCTCCCCATTTAAAAAGATAAAATCAATGAAACATTTATGCACGCTCTCCTCTAATTCGCCTGGCCAGCTGAATGTCCTTAGGCATGATGGTAACCCTCTTTGCGTGGATGGCGCACAGGTTGGTGTCCTCAAACAGTCCAACCAAGTAGGCCTCACTGGCTTCCTACAAGGGGGGAGGAGAATCAAAAGTTACATGTTTACACAAAGATTTGGAATAGAGTAACTTGCCAAGTAAGTGTGAATTGATGAAGTGTCATCTTACCTGCAGAGCACCAATAGCTGCACTCTGGAAACGCAGATCTGTCTTGAAATCTTGAGCGATTTCCCTCACAAGACGCTGGAAAGGCAGTTTCCTGATGAGCAGCTCAGTGGACTTCTGGTAACGACGGATCTCACGCAGAGCAACAGTTCCAGGCCTACAACAAATTAACATTACCCACTTAACACTGACCGAAACAATACATGTAGTATTACTGCCATCCAGTCGTGGTATAATTTGTAGCAACTGCACGCTGCACTCAGTATAACCTCAATAATACCATAACTGACACAGAAGCCTGTGCACTCGTTGACATGTGTACCTGTATCTGTGGGGCTTCTTCACTCCGCCGGTGGATGGCGCGCTTTTCCTTGCAGCTTTGGTGGCCAGCTGCTTCCTAGGCGCCTTTCCTCCAGTGGATTTACGAGCGGTCTGCTTGGTACGAGCCATACTTCACCTGCGGTTCTGAAAACACAACAAAAGATGACTCAACATGCGATTTAATTTCATTTAGTAACGTGTTATCCTCAATATTGTAATCCCTATTGGATCGATTTACTGCCAGTGTACACACTGAAGCAACTTCAACATGGACACTCGGTTATGACCCACATCCTTATTAAAAACATTTCCTGATACACTTTCAATATGAACGTTAACGTTACCAGAAACTACTCAAACGTTTTGTTAGCAGCTGAATGGTCAGGGGACTCTTCTAAATATGAAGTTATTGCATAACCACGTTTGAAACGTAAGTAGTTTCGATTAAACAAAACAAGCCCCGTCTAAATCCGTGCCACCATTAAGCTCCGGGACACACACACGTTTCTTTGCTGTCCTTAGCGAGCAAATTTAAAGCTAGCCTCGACCGTTGCAAAATGGCGCCAGCTAGCTACCACTTACGCTTAATAACATTCATATAAAGACACTGTAGTCACCTAGGTCAATTTCATATGACCATACAGGTAAAGTAAACCTTATTTGTAGGTTTATATGTTATAATATTGGTTTCTTGGTAAGTAGAGTCTGTATATTATATCAAATGTAGCTAACAGTTAGCCGACTGGCTATGGCGCGCGCCGTTTTGTTTTCAAGTCACCAAAGATTACCGGTGGGCCAACCGTAGTGTAACGTTTCTAACGACCTAGAAATGAAAATACACCATATCGTTGATAACCATTAGTACCTAATGTAGAAAAATACAGTAAAAAGCGCTCACGCTCTCACGTTACCTTTTGTGTTTATTTTCCGGGAAAGTGATATCTCCTCCTTACGCGTTGGTTGACTGTTGACCGGGGGGAGAGGGAGGCGGCACTTATAGTGTGAGAGGAGTGACGTTTATGTCCCGCCCCTGAGCCAACGTGATTGGTCCAAACTGAAATCCCTGCCGGAATGTGATTAGTGGAGGAGACGAGGAGGAGCACACTGCCTCTGCATTTGAAGATGAAAAGAACAAGAAGTGCCTTCTTCTAAATGGAGGCATGTAGATGTTTTTATTCATCTATCAACCCGAAACTGCTTCTTCTTAGTCCGCTCAGTTTGGATATATCTTTTTCATTCTTAAGATTTATAGTTGATCTCTAAAGTATGAGTGCTCACTGACTTCAAATCCCTTTCTTTTCTCTAAATGGAAGAACAATGCTGCCCCACTGGACAACCGATATGCTTTGTAATTTGTAGATAGGAGTATCATAAGCTTACGTAATGGCTTGAGAAAAGCATGGTCAATAGCAGGTGATGACAAAAAGGGAATAAATTGTAGCCAAGATTAACACTAGATATCCTGTCTGGGATGCAGCTGTAGGCACACAGGGGCGTAGCACCACATTCTGGGACCCAAGCAGTCTCCATGGGCCCCCTGTTCCTCATTTTTTTGATCCATTTCTCTCACCACACCTTAAAAAAATTTTTTTTAATAAAGTCGTTTTGTTTTCGTTGGTCTTGATTCTTTCTTTCTCTTCTTTTCTGACATCCCGATCTCCCTTTTTTTGGGGAAAAACATGACAATAAATGTTAGTGCTCCAGCAGCATAAGCAGTCACTACTCCCTTTTACACTGCCTGATTAAGTTAGGAATATCACTCCATTTTTTCCGCCTTGTCGATCTGTATATAAGGTACAATCACGGAATAGGGGGACAGAGTGGTCTCGCCTTTAAGCCTCCACAGGAGGTAGTAACAATGCCAAAACAGTTTCTATATAAACAGGACAGTCTACAAGATGGAATTATGGGCAGCATAGGTGCAATGTTTTGATGACGTATTATGTGTGCGATTTACCACGGGAGATTTAAAAAGTAGCAGTTAGCGGCTAACTCAGAGAAGTAGAATAGTGGCCATAAATGTTGGCAAACTGGGAAAACAATGAGATTCAGCAGCTCCTTACTCTCTGAGCAGAGGACGAGATCAGCTGCCATATAACAGGGACAGTAAATTATTGTTATTGACACGTTATTACCATTGTTATTTAGAAAGTGCTGCAGATGCATATGTTTTATGTCACACTGCAGAATGGCGCTGTTGTGTCACATGTTACGCCTATCATGCCCATTTTGAGTCCACAAAGCAGTGTATAACCACACACTGGAGCCAAATGATGCTGCTGTCATTTGGTTCTGTGTAAAAAAACAAAACAAAATAGGCAAAAAGAAAAAACTTTGTGTTGGCCCTAGAGTGCGATCTCTGTGTAAAAGGGCTACTTACTTTGCTCGAGCTGTGTTTAGTGACAGGGGTGAGAGGGATCTCAAAGAGCCTCCACTATTTTTGTACAAAATTAACTGTTTCAACTGATTCATTCAGCTAATTTTAATTTAGATAGGACACCAACTACTTAGACATAAAACATTGCAAACAAAACCAAAATTTTCAATTCCCCCTTCTGATTGGGACCCTGGGTAATCAGTCCTACTCCCACTCCCCCAACTACCCTGCTTGCACAACCTGTAGCACAAGAGCCGGCTGTTTTGAAAACTATATTTGGCTATAATCTGAAAAGCAAACAAAGAGCATGACAAAAAGCCTTAAACATGATGAAGACAATAAAAACTTATCATAGACCTGTTGTGACCCAAGGAAGTAAATCAAGTTTATTTTTTCTGGAAACTAACCAGGCATTTCACACCTCACACAGCATGAGCTGCGTTCGAGTTTCTGCATTTTCACAAATAGTTGAGAAAACCTCAAGACATTTGTGTGAAAATCTGAGTTAGTGCAGAGCACCACAAACAAATTCAACATCATGCTTCTGCTGACAATCTGTTAATATCCTTACTGCTTTCTTAGCTCATCATCTGTTTAGGCAACACTGGGACTAGTCAAGCATTAGGCAACAGACTGATGTCACAGTCTGATCCTCTGATGGCTCACAGCACCCAGCCACCAACAACCTGGTGACACATCAGCTTGTGTCATTGTCATTCACAAGATTACTCTTTCTTGTTACTCTCCAGTCATGTTATTAGCATACAGTGATTACAGCCTTTTTATACCTGCAAAAACTGGTTCACCGTTGTCTTTATAATGCTTTCACCTGCTTTTGTTTTTAGTTAAACCACCTTTTTATATTTTGTTTCTCAGGCTGACTAAGAAATTAACCCACATTTTCATATTTATTTGCACGTTTACCCGTGGTTACCTTTGTCTGTATTTACTAATTTTCTTTGACTTTGCTTATTTTTCATCTTTGGAAAACCTCACATCAGTCTGTAAGGTCTCAACCACCTGGGTCACGAGGACACCATCAAGCGGAACGACAGTAGGGGAAATATTACCAGACGGACCTATTCTTATGTGACACCGGTCCGGTGGTAAGTTTCTGAACACATTACGATATCACGGAAACCAAGAAAATATAAGTAATTTAAAAACGTGGGTTTATATTAGAGCCTGTTCCGATGAACATGTCTGTAAAGCTGAAGCGTCGAGTTGACTAGTTCAGACTAACAGACGCCTCTCAGCTGAAAACCTGCAGCACTGAAGACTCAGCATGACCGAGCAGAGGCTGCTGTTTATAGGTACATTATGACTTTATTACACATCATAAGATGAATGCATTTCCTATGGGCATTGCTGTATGCATGTGTGTGATCTATTACAGGTCATGTTTGAGGAACAGAATGTGGATTCAAATAGTTTAAGTCTGTTTGTCTGAAAAATGTCATGCCTGCATGTTTTGCATACTGCAATTTATTTTTTGTTGACCACTGTGTAGTTTTTGTACGCGATATAAATTATATTTGCTGTCATTTTTTCCAAGTAACAAAATGTTAGTTAATCATCTTTTTTTTTTTTTTTTTTACCTACAAAATTATGGTTTCAATGTATACTTCAAATACAAGCCAGAAGAAATGTAATTATCGCCTTTTTTCTCAATCCAGCAAGTGTGTCATTTTTTTGGTGTGTGTTTAATGTGTTGAAAACAAGGTAAGACAAGTGCAGGGACGGGTAAGCAGACAAAAGAGATCATACAAAGTAAGACAGAGACATACAGTAAAAATTAAGACGAAGTAACTACCTGAGGACACTGAAGAAAAACAAACAAACAAAAATACTACTCATGTTCAAACTAGTGGGTATGCAGAAAATCAGGTGAAGACGACTCCTGCAACTTGAAGTGTTTTTCTCGGGAACAAATAGTGGGAATGTGTGTTGATTCAGGAAATGAATTGATTCATGGTACGCCTTTTAAATGACTTGCAATTCTTTCTTGATTTTTGTGGAATCTAAAGTCATCAAATTTGTGACTCTATTCAGACTTGAATCCAGACTTGTGATCCTAATGTTTGTGCGTGTGTGTTCATTCAACAGATATTGAACCAAAGTCAAACAGCTCCGCTCCTGCCAACACCAGAGCTGAGAATCCCCTCTGGACTCGCAGTGACAACACCTTCAGATTTAACTTCCTCTCCGACAACTCGCCAGCACTTCAAGAGAAAACAACCCCATCAGACGGCACTGAAGCAACACCGAGCAAAATATCCTTTACAGGACAGGGCTCTGCTTTTGCCTTCAACTTTCAAATTTCTCCTGTGGAAGACATGGACACAACAGAGACTCCAGACACTTCTTCTTTAAGCGTCCAACAATGTGTCCAAGAGGAGAAGCCTTCCCCGCTGCAGGAGGCTAACTCTTCATCTGAGCCGACAGAGCAATCACAAGCAAAGAAGAAGAAGAAGAAGAAATCTGCAAAGAAAAACCCCTCAGATAGCGCAGAGACTGCGCCAGGTTCAGCTGAGGGGAGTCAAGGAGGCGAGGACGCAGAGCTGGTCAGTGTGAAATTACTTCCTGTGAAGAAATCACGGTGGGTTCCAGTTGAGTTGATGTCTCAATGTGACTGTGTGTGTTTCAGAGTGCAGAGGAGCAGCTGAACAGACAGCTGGACTGGTGCATCGAGCAGCTGGAATCAGGGATGAGGTCCCAGAAGAATACACCGAAACAGAGTATGACTTTTACCTTCAACATCACCTAACCTGTTCAAATAAAGTGTACTCTGTAGCTTTTCTAGATACAGCACACATATTGATATACTTTCTCCCCACAGAGGAGGAAGCCTCTCGTGCCCTGAAGACTCTACGAAGCTCCAAAGCTCCTCTGGCCAAGAAGAGGCAGGTGATGAGAGCCATGACTGGAGACTACAGGAAAAAAATGGAGGATGAGAAGAGCAAGCAGTACAAACTCATTCAGAGCGGTGAGAGTGATCTGAACAGTAAAACCGACTCATTAAAGAACTTTTAAGTTTAATCAACGTCCCGTAAATTGACAGATTTCTCTGATCCCAACAGAAATCGCATCGGCTCAGGTCAAAGTCGTGTCAGATTCTCCAAAGAAGTCTGTTTTCCACCGGAGAGCTGACGTCAAAAGCCATACCCCAACCACTGAGGAGAACCTGCAACAAACCAGAGCCCAGGATACTGACTTAAAAGGACAGACACAGGAACAGACATCAGCCTTTGTCTTTGCTCCATCAAAGGAGGAGTTTCGCTTCAATTTCCTACCCTGAACACACAATTCACTGCACATTATGTTGGACTGGGCCCGTGGACTGTGACTGTGAGCTGCACTGGAGATAATGGGAGATAAACAGTCACAAAAGTTGCAGTCACATACGTAAAATCTTAAAATGCTGACAGCTTATGCCATATATCTAAATAAAGATTTTGTATTTTTGTCTGGATGGTATTTGTTTTTTGAACGTGTGTATGTATGTGTCATATTATGAGAAAGTTTTCATCATCAGCAGCTACTACAGTTAATCTACAGGTGTGTGACTTCATCACAGCCTTACCATATGTTAGTGGTTCCCAATTTTGGCTTATGACCCCACAAAATGAAAGTATGTCTACTTGTGATCTGTTTTTTTAGGTTTTAGTGTGGACAGGAGTTGTGAGCTGTGGGAAGTGGGATTTTTCGCTCTTAGATTGTTTCATAAGTTTTTCAAAAATTTAATTTGAGAAAATAAAAAAGTAAACAGTAAACAGATTTATCTGCTGACCCCTCAGATTTTTGAAATCCGTTGAGCAGTCCTAACCGCCAGGAGTGCCTAAGACAAAAACAGTAAGGTTATTTAGCACTCACAAACTCAAATATTTTTCTACAGGTCAATTCAATGAGTTTATGATAACACTGGTCAGTCATTATTCTATACACAGTGCTGGGAGAGGCTCTTAGAAAACTTTGCAAGCGACTAATTAACACTGGAAGAAGTTGAACTACTGCAAACCTAACCTAGTGAGAAATCTAGTTTGATTAACTAACGCTACTTAGAAAAAGTAGTTCAAACTACTTTGTAAAAATATGATGACAAAAAACAAAATGTCATGCCTGCAAAAAATGCCACTCATTTGAGTTTATTGCAAAAAGTTCCCACTTTATCACAGGTCATACATAACTAAAATAAAATGAAATTATATAAAATACTCCATTGTTCATGGGAGACTGTAAGAAATGTCAGCTTTGGTATTGTTAACAAAGTCCATCAGTCAGACACCTGCCATCAGACACTAGAGTCCAGGTGAGGGTATTACACCAAGCAGAAGTACTCAGTTATCCAGATAACTTCCAAAACAGCATCCAGTAATCTCCAATAGTCTTTTAACATTTTTAATAAATAGTGATGACTAATAATTTTGATGACTAATTGTCACATGATGGTTGCCTGATGAGAGCATTGCCTGGACATGTCCTCACAGGCCAGGATGAGAAAGTGGGCGGGGCCAATCAAAGGAGGTTCTATTACAGTAGGGAAGCCATATTACCATGGAAATGATTCATGTCCTGTTATTGCCCAACATTGTTTGTAGTTGCAGCAATTAACTACACAAAAATGGCAATAAATAAATAAATAACTACTTGAAAAACAATGCAAATATGAGTGTAGTTAAGCTACCGGCAAGATGTAAAAAGTAGTAAAACTATTAGTTTCATTACATGTAGTTTACTACCTCTAACACTTTATAATCCATAAACTGTAAATAAATCAGTGAACTGTACGTGCTGTCGAAGAAGTTCAACCGGACCGTTTAAACCGGAAAGGGCGGGGCATGGTTCAACACGGGCACAATTGAGCGTGACACACAAAACAAAAAAGTTTCAACCGCTGGGAAGAACTAACGGTACCTGTCGACTGTAAGTTTTTAACTCATGACATTCAGCTGTATTAATATCAAATATTAGTGAATTTAGTTTGTCGTATTGTGAAATAGTTTTATCTTTAGTTCATAAGGTAGGTGTGTGGCAGGGAGACGTTAATACCGGGCTAACGTTATCTAATGAAGCTAACACTGAGCTAGCTAAACTCTAACTTCGTCTGTACAGGCACAGATGAGAAAGAATAGCATCGAGGGTGAACAAAATGTCCCATTTAGCATGTGGGAGGTAAAGAAGGCATTGGATAAAACTGTGGGAAACTGGGAAAGTTAAAATATGTTAACGTTACATCATGTTAAAACATGGAGGGACTGAAGAAGTTGTTTCTATTATTTAATTAAGAGCTGGAAGGACGCTATCAGAAAAAATGCCAGTAAGCAGGCAGACTTAAATCGTATTGCCTTGATACCACACGTCTGTTAACTAGTGGAGCTGATGTTTAATGAGAGGAAACACACTTATTGTAAGAAAGATGTGTGGTGGCTAAGTACCAAAGCAGATTTGGGAGGAGATGGGGCACTATGGATTCCTTGTTGTGTCTCAAAGATGAGATAAGAAAAGTTCAAGTAAATAAACAGAGAGCTGCCGTTTTTAATGTTAAAAATATGACATGTTATGGAGAGAGGGGCTGCTGGAGTCAGATGGGAAATTTCAACTGGGACTCTGTAGGTGGAAAACTATTCAGGTTAAAATAGGGTCAAGATTATCAAATAAACATGTTGTGGAAAATTGATTTCTTCAGGGGAGTGCTGTAAGGACTGCTTTATTTTCTGTTACAACTAATGATATTTGCGAATATGCAAGTTGATGTGAGAAGATCACTGTTTGCACATGACAGGATTTTGTGGAAAAGAGCATATACACAGATCAGCCAAAACATAAAACCCACTGACAGGTGAAGTGAATATAATTGATCATCTCTTTACAACCTGAGGTCCTGGCGTTCATGTGGATGCCACTTGACACACACCACCAATCCAAACGCTGTCACAGACCAAGTGCCCCCCTCATGACGACAGCCCGAGGAACATGACAAACAGCTCAAGGCATCAACCTGGCCTCTAAATTCCCCAGATCACAATCCAGTCAAGCATCTGAGTTGTGGTGGCAAGAATTCCTCGCAGAACATTGGACTGTAACAAGATGATCAGTGTTATTCTCTTTACCTGTCAGTGGTTTTAATTTTTTGGTTGACCGAAGTAGTGCAGAAAACAAAGGTTGAATTAGGGGACAAAATGGGAAAAACAAAAGTTATTATCTTCACAAGAGAGACACTCAGGGAAGCTAATTTAAAAATGTATGTGTTATTTGTTCATTCATGACAAACCTTTCATCTTTATCTTTGGTGCTCAGATTCAGGGCCACCTCTGTTTTCAGGTGTGTGGAGAGACAAGTGAAGAGGTAGGAAATGTCTGAGCTAAGTGACGAAGCCAGTGAATCAGAGCAACTGGGTGCCAGCCTCTCTCTATGGCTGGGTGACTCCCTGGTGCGGCCTGAGGAGCTGGATGTCCCTTTGGACCTCCACACTGCCTGCTCCATCGGCCAGTACGACGTGGTGGCAGAGTGCATCAAAAAGTGGGTGCATAAATTCCAATAATTATAGTATAACCAGATGTGTTTGTTTGATCCAAAGCCTTTGTGGCACATTTAAATCTGTGTATTTGTAACTATGATCTTGTGTCTTTTAAGACGTGAGGTGGACTTGAATGGCAAGAACGTCGGAGGATGGACCCCACTGATGTATGCATCGTACATCGGCCATGACAACATTGCAAATCTCCTGCTCGAGGCAGGTGTGAATGTAAATGCCACAACTGCCAAAGGATTAACCCCCTTGATGCTGGCAGCGAGCTGTGGGAATGAAAGTATCGCATACTTCCTGCTTCAGGTACAAAATGGCTCCGTCAGACAGTAACAGTTCATCACACTCTATCATAAAGATGGAAGAAGGCAGTTTTTGTTATGTTCTTGGTAAGATGTTAGATTTATAGTTCTATATGTTGACACTTTGTCATTCAGAGTATGAAAGGCTTTTTGCTTTTCTTACCCCAAAAGCAAGGTGCTGAGTTGGAGCTGAAGGACTCTCGAGGCTGGACCGCTCTGTTCCACTGCACAAGCACCGGCCACCAGCAGATGGTCAGGTTCCTGCTGGATAACAATGCTGACGCCAATGTCAAGTGAGTGCCTTCATTCTTCCGAAAACTACCGTAACTCTCCATTCAAACAGAGTTTTTCATGACTTATTCTTTCATCCACAGGGAGCCAGGGTCTGGTTTCACTCCCCTGATGGAGGCTGCTGCTTCTGGACATGAAATCATTGTTCAGTACCTGCTTGATCATGTGAGGAGGATAAATTTGCACACCACTGTGGATGGGTGGTGACATTACACAAAGCATATAACAGGATAGAATAGAAATACTTTCTCTTCTTTTTGCATGCAAAAGAAGAAATTTGTCTTTAGTCTGCATGTGCAAAATCTGCTATTAAAAAGGGTACATTCACACACATCATATCACACACAGACAGGACAGATTAAAACACATTAATTTAAAAAACGAATACAAAACAGAGGCCACATTAAAAGGAGCACCAGGTACTCGATGGTGAGGACTGAGTCAAGGTTAAATAATGCCTTTTGAGCCTGACATCTGCTTTGTTTTAATAATTAACAGAAAGTTAAAGTAGAGGACCGCAACGCTAAAGGAGAGACTGCCCGTGCCCTGGCTATGATGTACGGATATACCAAGATCGTCAGCCTTATTGACTCACGTTCTCCAAGGATCAAACCAGGTACGTGTCCAAACAGTTTAATTTCTCATATGTTGTTTTTCTTTCCATTTCTTTCATCTTTCATTTTCTGATTGTTTTTTCTGTGTGTGTGTTCCAACTCAGGACATTTTGAAGACCTGAGCTCCTCAGAGGACTCGGACAGCGCACCCCCACGGATAAGGCCAAGTCGAAGCCGAGCTAAAGGCGTTAGCATCCATGATGGGCCCCAGGCCATCGCCAAGTTCCGAGTAGGAGGCACCAGCAAACTGTGTGGTAGTGTCACATAAGATATCTGCCCATGTGTATCCATGTTAAGAGGACAGTGGTTCAGAAGTTAAAATACTCAGAAGCGTCCAAGGAAGTTTTTGAAGTGGATGCTCAAGATAAAAAAATAAATTTGACAGTCAGATTTTTTAAAAGTGGCATGTACGTCATAAGCACTGTCAGAGGGGGAGACAAAATTCCGCATTCCAACTTTAATACTGTTTTCTCCTTTTACAGAGCCTCCTGTAGCTCCACCAGGCTACATGACATTTCGTGACATCGGTGAAAAGAGTGAGGGCATCTGCTACCGTGACGTGACATCACCCATCAATGAGCTGGATGGCCAGAGCAACAGCAGCAGAGGTAAGAGGCACACGATTACCAGTGTTTTGTGACATCTGAAATACATAACTGAAGTGATATAGTACAAGCAGTGTCAACAATTACACTGGATGTCCGCAAAAGCAATTCAGTATTCTATGATACCGCAACAGATGACAGTCCATTCTTCGACAATGACATGCCCACCATGAGGAGCAGCAGCAGCAGCAGTGAAGGCTTGCCTCATGTGATTGGCCTCAACTGGGAAGGCTCAGTGGAGAGTAATGAGGTGAACACAAGAACACAGCAGTCCCACTGATACGGAGCCAAGCTCCAGATTTTATTTAGATATGTCTGTGACACGGTGTCTCTTCTCCCCCAGGACTCTGACCAATGCAAAAAGAGCAGCTCTCGGAGGGTAAATAAGAGCCATCACTTAAAAGGCAAGAGTCGCCATGGAAGCAGCGATGCAGCTCACTCCAGCATTACAGGGAACTGTGGGATGCTCTCACATGCTGGTCTTCCACCCTCCTACACTGGTCCAAAGGCATGTGCTCACTTTTTGATGTGTCAGTGATAAGTGTGGTCAGCAGCCAGTTTATTCTGCACTGTCTAACATTGTCTGTTCCTGCAGGATCTGGCGGAGTTCTTGGAACAAATTGGCTTCTCTAAGTATCTCCCCGTGCTTGAGGAGCAAGACATTGATCTGCGGATATTTCTCACCCTGACTGAAAATGATCTCAAGGAAATAGGGATCACGTAAGAGAATTTTTCACATTTATTTGGGCACATTCAGTTTTTGTTTCCTTTTGGTGTGAAATGCTCATTCTGTTTTTGCTCTCCAGATTGTTTGGACCCAAGCGTAAGATGACTTCTGCGATTGCACGGTGGCACAGCAGCGCTCGACCACCCAGCGACGCTCTGGAACAGGCTTATGCTGACCAGCTTGAGGCGGAGATGCAGGAGATGGCCATTCAACTACACAAGGTAACTGCGAAGCAACTGTAACTACCATACAAATATTTTCTGACCTACATTTAACTGACAAACTTTCTCCCTGTGTAGCGCTGTGAGGAGGCGGAGGGTCTGCAGAGCCAGGTGTCTCAGGAGAAGGAGCTGCGCACCGTGATGGAAGGATGTCTAATGGAGGATAAGATGGCATGGAGAAGGGTCCATGCTGAGCTGGTGGAGAACCATCGGCTGGCTCAGGACATGAGCGCCACACTGGCGAAGTCCAGGACCTGTTGTGGTGACCTGCTCTCCTTTTTGACTACTGATGGGAATAGCAGCTCCTTTACTGGTGTGGAAGATAAAACAAAGGGTGACAATGGTGTTAAAGGTGAGTTGAAGTGTCCTGTGTTGGGTTACACCTTTCACATGTTCTGATTAACAGGATTCAGGCTGGTAGTCTGAACAAGGCCTAAGTAATTTTACTTGTCGTTGCAGCTGGGGAGGGACTCACACGTGTTACAGAGCTACTAAAGAAGCTGGACTCCTATGAAGAAGAGCTGGGTAAGATGGTGGAATGCTCAGTGATTAACGTGGCTTTGCTACGTCAGTAGTGTCGAGTGTTAATGCTGGTATCTGCTTGATTTGACATTACAGCTGGGACCCTGCAAACTGTGCTTCAGAGTCTGAGGCGACTGAGTGCCCCCGAAAAAGTCTCAGATAGCTGGGAACGGCCTTAACCTTCACAGGTGAGTACTTACATCAGAACTCTTGTTGGATGAACACAAAAAACTTAAGAAAATAACTGGTTTCTTGTACCTGAAGAGGCTTTTTGCCAATATTCGACGGAGGGTGATCTAACCACCCTGAACAATCTCACTGACATGAGAGAAGGCAAGGCCAGCCCTGCCAGACCACTGCAGCTCGGGGAGGGAATAAGCTGACCTGCTGCTCCTCCGGGATTGGCGGATGGACCAGAGCTCGCCAGATGCGGATAAGGCCAAGGGTGGCGGCGGTTACTGCAGAGAAACGACAAACAGGCAGGAAGGGTACCTGACCCTCACACGCTTGTGCTGGTGTAAACTGGACTCCAGTAGCTGGGTTGGGAAAATGCACAGAGAGGAGAGAGTGGATGCGGATCAGAGGCTGTGATACTGTGAAATGTTTTTAAAAGGCCGTTCTCTTGCCCTGTATGAAATGTGGGTTAAGTTATCTTCACATCACAAGCTGAAACATTTCTTAAAAGGTAGTCAAAGTTAAAAGATATTCTGCAGAGTTATACTTTATCTGAATGAAATCTTATTTGTATGCTGTTTGAAAATGATGTCCTGCTGAATGCATTTTTAGTTATTCATTTACAGTAATACATTACGTTACAGCAGATTTCTCAGTGGTGCAATGAAATGGTTAGTGTGTCATTCAGTAGATTCACTGCGTGGCTTCCTAAATGTGATCTTGGACATGAATTAAAACCTTGTTGCCCGAAAGTTGATGGTGGACACTTGAATTCTGGGTCATTTTCCTCTTCTGTTTTTACATATACTCTGATATTGGTGCTCCACGTCAGTGTAATGAAGACAGCTTGATGATTGTGCTTCATATTTTTGTCTACAAACAGATAATGAAGTATCAAAAATACAAATTTCATGACAGTAGGGAGAATATCTGCAAATTTATTGGTGGTCCCACAGTTGAGAATGTATGTCAGCAGAGCCAGGGGAAACACATTGTGGACAAAATTATCCAAACAGTAAACAGAACAAAATAAATACCCACCAGCCGTGTAGTCTTTTGGGAGATATTCCATGATCAGTTGATTTCAGAGGTCAAGTAGCGTGAAAATGTAGTCGACAGCATGCATTAGGACATCATAAATAAATAAAGGTGGAAGGAGCAGTTTCACTGGGGCTTTAGAAAACTAGATTTTTATGTGTTTTGGTCTATCTGCATATCCGAGGCGTGATCAGGAAACATTTTCTCCCAGACCTTAATTTGGAATCCTGTTAAATGTTCCTACTTTTTCGAAAGCAGCTGAAAAACTGATAAATTATTCATGACTCTGTGCCAATTTGTGGTGCCGAGATGAATTCTCAATGCATAAAGTTTATGCTCAGGTAGACTTGTGCATCATTAATATTTTACACTTTCAGATTTGCTGAACATTTGTCAGGTTTTTTTTTGCTTATATAACCTTTAAATGGGAATTATGGTGCTCCATCAGCTCGGCATTACTTCAGCAGATGTGTGGAACATATTGAGACGTTCACAAATTATAGTCTGTCTCTTACATAAACACTTAAAATTGCTTTGTATTGAATCTTGGACTTAATATCCAGATGTCTCTTATCAGATGGCTCAAATGAGTCTGACTCTATTAATGTGGTCAGTATTTAATTTGCTAAAACCACAGGGCAGCTCTGTAAACACTGAGCCTCGTGGGTCAGGGATTCCCCTCCTCATTGCTGGGATGTCCTCATACGGAGTACATCTGAAAATCCTCCATTGTGCCCGGGGCCTTGGCGCTAAATTGATGTGATGCTGCTCAGTTAACAACCTTGGCGTGATATAAATGTTGGCTGAGTTAAGCTTTAGCAGCTGATCCAGATACACCGGCAGCTCTTTCAACGAGCACAGACTCTGCCCACCTCGTACATCACTGCTCTGGCCCTCAACTGACAAGACACCTGTAGATCTGTTATAGGAATGATGGGAAACTACTAGAGATTATGATAAGACCATTGACGTGTTTAAGGAATAGTTCTGTTCAGTACAGTCCACTGCTGTGGACATGGGCAGCAGCAGACCACATTTAAAAAATAAATATCAGTTTAAGTGTGCCATATTTAGAATACTTCCATGGCTTTATCATGTTGTCAGACAGCCCTTTCCAATGGGAAACTGGAGCCGTTATCTATTCTCTCTTCAAAACAAAAACGTCAACTTTACCTCACAGAACATGGGAGCTGCTCAACTGGTTAGTTTGTGTTATTATGTGATTTTGGTGAATCCAGACTAACCCCTATAACACCAGTAGTGTTCCATATGTGTTCAAATCTAAACATTTAAATATTGGTCGAAATACATATGTTTTTAGCATCAGAAGCTATTTTCCCAAGCCCTTCTAAAAACATTTTCCCACAGACCTGACGTAGCTTTCTGCATGATGATGTTGCTACATATAAACTACCTAGCCTAGGGGTCAGCAAACTTTACTATCAAAAGACCCATTATAAAAATAAAAAAAGTCTGTCTGTCTTCATCATTCATTAAAATGTTTTACCACAAGGTGGCTACTCTGCAGTGGGCTGTTTATGATTATTTAGTAGTTTAACTTGGTGTGTTGGTGGTGAAAGCAAATTAATTAGTTGGCGCACGATTAAATTCACTGTTTTCCTCCATGACTTTTCCTTTTTGGATTTGGAATCGATATCTATCCTAGCTTGTGAGTCTCAAGACAAACCCCCCTACTGAGGTTCCACAAAACTCAGACGACAAGGTGCTAGGCCATTGACGTACGAATCGATGCCTACATATTTTTACAATTGGAGAATTTAAGAATCGCTTTAGGCCTACAGTGAAGATAAATGAAAATTAGAATGTTAAATAAAGTAACTGTTACTCATTTCTATATGATTTTTTTGGTCAGAGCCACAGGCAGCCACTGGAGAGGGGCTAAAGAGCTGCATGCGACTCTAGAGCCACAGGTTGCCTACCTCTGACCTAGCCCAATGTGCCCCTCAGTGACTGATCCAAGCCTTCTTAGAAATCCATGTGTGATCGATCCTCCAAATTAGCTACATTCCTAATCCTCTAAACCAGTGGTTCCCAACTGGTCCAGCCACATGGTCCACATTTCTCCTTAGGCATTAGCTCAAGTTCCACACGGTTTAACACATTCAGCAGCAACATACTTGGGTTTGGCCATGTCGTCGAGCTAGTTTGTTGTCTCTGTTGACGTGTTTGTGAGTCACTTGTGGTCCATTCAAAATGGACAGGTGACCCACTAGTTGGGAGCCACAGCCCTAAACGGTATGGAAGTTAAGCTATGTTCTGCTATTGGCGCCACGTTTCACTACAAAAGTGACACAATAACACAAACTAACCATTCAAGGCAGTGGCAGACCAGCAACTCCTGTGTTCTGAGAGGTGAAATTACTGTCTGACAGCAAGGGAAAGTGGTTAAAATATTCTAAATAGAGTATGCACTTTTTTAGGTGGATAAAATACATTTTGCTGCTGCCCCTGTCCACAGCAGTACATTACTAAGCTTCCTTGGCAGTATTCCTGCCTGGTTCTCCAAACTGGGGGGTGCCGACCGCCATCTACTGTAGGTAATACACTGACTATGGATAAGCACCTCATACAACCCCACTTCAAAGAATCAGAACTGTAGCTACAGTTTATTTCATCTGATATCACAGTCGTGTTGGGATTGTACATTTATACCCAGGAACCAGATGCACTGTGTTTGGTGTTTGTAGTGAGAACCCTAATTTGCAACACTTGTCTTTAAGGTGTCATAAAGAAGAGGTGAAAGACAGGAGCGGCAGACTTGCGATGCCGAGCAGCCTCCAGAATGGAAATGTACCCAAATAAACACAAACAGTGCTGAGAGTCGAGACTGGGCTGATAAAATATTCTCCATCTCTCTGTGATAATTTACTCATGTCACGAGGGTCTGCCAGTAAAACTGACAACTACTGTAGATTGTAAAATCCTCCCGCCAGCTACCATCAGGCCACACAGTGCTGGGATGTAACACAGATTCTGACAGTAACAGTCAAGACAAAGCTGTTCTGTTGAGGTTTATGTGGACAGAAGTCGTCTCTGTTGGCTCCCACACTTGTTCTGTTGTGTGTCTCACCAGTACTGAGCCATACAAACTATGACAAGCAACACACTGAGCGGCACACATTGTTTGTAGCTGGTGGACTCGAGGCTAGAGATGTTGGCAGGTTGCCAATTGGGATTTCTGGGCCCAGGAGAGTAAAGTGTGGTCGGGGAAAATGAATAAGTAGTTTCCTCTCACTAAGGTGCCCTCGAGCAAGACTTTTTATCCTGACTGCTCCACTGGAACCACTCAGCAGACAGGAGGTGGAGACGAGATGTACTGGGCAGCTGCCAGGTGAGAAAATGTGCAGCTGAATGAAAATGTGAAGCTCAGTGTGAGGTCAGATGACCTGGACTCAGTCTACATTGACTGATTCATCAGAGAAGCTGCATATACACCAAAGGGAAGTTAAGCTATTTCATGTTAAAGGGACAGCTCAGCCCCAAAATCAAATATATATATATACAAACAGTCATTTTTTACCACTTATCCGGGGCTGGGTCGCGAGGGCAACAAGCTGAGCAAAGCACTCCAGATGTCACTCTACCTAGCAACACTTTGCCAGCTCCTCCTGGGGGAGCCCGAGGTGTTCCCAGGCCAGATGAGATATATAGAATCCCTCCAGAGTATTCTGGGTCTGCCCCGGGGCCTCCCACCAGTTGGACGTGCTTGAACACCTCTAACAGAAGCGCCCAAATGAAATGTACATATATATTTTTTGACAAACCTTTTGACAGACCTTGTTATGAGCAGTTTCATGAAGGAACTATTTTCTTTCTACCAAACTACACCTGCTAACTGTATCACCATGCAGAAGGAAACATACATCTACTACTAGCTCACCTAGCACCACTAACGTCATAGCTCAGCCAAGGAGGACGCCATTAATGTTTACATCTCGCACTGTCACAAGCACGAGCCTCTCGGCCATGAGCAGATGCACGCTAGCGTACCTAAAGGTCTGTGGATTATCTTGAGTAACCGGATCATGATTTCTGGAAAGAGACATTGCTGTTGAGTTTTTCAAATGTGTTTTTTGGCACTTTGAGCACCACAAGCTGAGTGCCATCTAGTTGCATTTTATTCAAGAGAGGGCAGATGTCTCTACAGCTGATATCTCTAACACTCGGCAACTCACACCAAAATAATCTAGGCTGATAAATAGCACTACAGGTAAGAGGAAAAATATGTTTTTTTGATTTGGGGGTGAACTGTCCCTTTAAATGTAGTCAACAAAACAGACTTCACTGGTCCAAGACAATTTCAAGTGTATTGCTTTAATGTATCGTTTTAATAGAGAGCTATTTCTCATATAAATTAATTTAACATTATCTACAGTCCTTCAAAATAAGATATAGCGTTATGTACAAACATTAACAATACACTTAAGATGAACATACAGATGTTCCTGTACAGCCTTCAGGGTTTCACTGAGGTGTTTAAAAACCATGTAAAATGCTGCGAGTGTGAATTCACAAAAATATTGTTATATTCTTTGATAGCTAATCTGTTTATGTACAAATTCAACAGTTAAAATGTGAATGTTTGCTCTTAAAGGCTGTCCAGGAGAGCACATATAACCCCCATCCTCCTTTATATCAGACTTGTGACTTATCTCACTTCAAACAAACACACACAAAACCGTCCTTTCCACAG